ACAGTGCGATCCTGTTTGTCGAAGTTACCGCATCAAGAGTTGTGTGTATTCAGCTTGAATGTTCTGAGTAATCGAGTGCTCCTTGGGATTTAAGCAAGTTCAAGTCTGAGTATTTGAGTTAGTGTGTCGGAATGTATGCAATGCTGGGAAGTTTTCTCCTTGAAATATACGTGTGGAGGCGCAAGCGATTCCTACAAGTGATGATTGGAAAAGTTTCAGGCTGTGAGTGTGGTTACGCACTACTTTGCGGGTCTTCGGATCTAGCTGGGTAGTGTCTTCTGGGAGTGGCATTGGCCTAAGAAGTAAAACTCCTTAAAAGAATGCTAATCTGTGACAAATCATGACTTTTGTGGTTGTTTCTGTCCTCGTGGGATCGAATATGTACCGTTATGCTCCATTTTGGTATTTGTTTGTCATTACATTAGGTAGCAATGAAGCTTCTTGAGTGAAAATAGTTTGTTCAGTAGTTTTACGTCGAAGATAGTAGTATCGGAAGGTTTCTTCAAGAAACTTCCTTGTATCAAATCGTGAGGATATTTAACGAGCTCGCCCGTGAGAGTACACACCTCCGATTCACGCTTCGTATGCACTATGTGAGAGTGCGCTGAAGGCATCAGGAAGGTCGAATTTTGTAGTAGGCTTGGATAGCCGTACTGGTATCCAGAGTTTTAACACGTACTGTCCGCGCTTCACAGCGTATGTCTCTTTGCATTCTCAAAGTACGCACAGTTCCACCAAGTAATCTACTCTAATTTTTTTTCAAATGAAAGAACCAGCTTAAATAAAAGAGAAAATTACTTGAGGAGATCTTTGCGGAACACAATTAGATAATTAAATCTCACAGGATGTCACATTTCATCGAAGTTGATTAACATAGAAAGTGGTGTTTAGAAATAAGCAAGAAACCTAAAGGTATGCCTCAAGTCGTTGCAAAATTTGTTGAACATGTTACACAACACTTCAACCTGCAAGAAATAGACTTACAAGGTGTTGTCGTACCAATGAATCATTTGGAGAGAACATCGCACTGTGCATGCCAGACTTGAATCTTTCAATTTTGACATAAAATGCATCAAATCGGATTGATTTTTTGCTTTGTGTGACTCACATATTCAACGATAGTTCGTTGCAATGAATGGCGAGTTTTGCAAATTACTTGTGAATGTCTGCTACCGTGAATGTTGTTATCTCGCTCGGATACAAATTAAAGGCACTAGTTTATGAGCCCATAAAATTGGAAGCTTAATTGCTTGATCATAACTTTGATTTATGATATGCATCAAGGAAATTATTCCAAATTGCATAATCTAAAATTTGTGACAAGAGCAAAGTAAAATGAAAACAACTGCTTCTTTCATATCTCTAAGGTTACATCCTCATAGAGTTCAAGAAGATTTGGTTGAATGAAAACTCTTGAGCGCTTTCTCACATCTTCAGCATTTATAGCAGCAAGTTACACTACAGTTGCTTGTCTCGAAACTTCTTCATACAGCGAAGCTCAAGCTTGTAGACCGAAGCTTGAGCTTTGAGCTCAAGCTTTGGTCTACAAGCTTGAGTGAAATGTTGCTATGGAGCGAAAGATGCAGTCAATGATTGACAACAAGACATGGGAGTTAGTTGAGCTTTTTACATATTGGACACTGATTGATTCAAATTGGATGTACAAATTGAAAACGAATCTAGCAGGAATGAGACAAGAATCTTCAAAGCTAGGTTGGTGCCTAAAGGTTTCACAGAGGAGAAGGGTGTGGATTACAATGAAGTTTTTTGCCTGTGGCAAAGTAGGCTACAATTTGTCTGATATATGCGCTGGCTTCAATTTTCAATATTCAATCTTGTTAAGTACCATATGGATGTGGCTACAGACTTTTTTATGGATATTTAGAGGAGTACATCTACATGAAACAACTAGTTGGCTTTAAAATCAAAGGCTAGGAGAGGATGGTTTGTAGATTGCTGAAATCACAGTATGGATTAAAACAAGCTCCTTGACAGTGGACACGCGATTTGATAAGTTTATGAAGGCAAAAGTTTTATTACAAAGCAAGTATGATCCTTGTGTCTACATGAAGAAGGTGAATGATAAGGCGTTCAATCTCATCATTTTAGTACTATATGTTGACGACATGCTCATCTTAGCAAAGAATCAATTTGATGTCAATGAATGTAAGAATCAGCTGAAGTCAGCATTTAAGATCAAGGATATGGGATGTCCAAGAGTATATTAGACATATTTATAGGCATCTTGAATAGAAGAAGCTATAGTTGAGTCAAGACAAGTATGTTCGTTATCAACTTGACAAGTTCAACATGGTAATTTGAAATTAGTATGTACTCTGCCATCACATTTTTAACTCTATGCAACTCAATGTCCTACAGATGCTATGGATTTTATAAAATTCATATAGAAGTTATTGTTAAATTTTTTCAAATAATTCATCTTGAATGTAGATTTTTATTCATTTTTTAATATACTGACGTCTTGAATTTTTAACATTAAATTTTGATAAAAAGAATTTGTTTTAATCAAAATTTACAATGATGAATATTTTTATAGAGTTGACACATGAGATTTGTGATTATTTTAACAAACCCATGTCCATATGAAACACAAATGTATTTATAAAATAAATTCTAGTTTGTATTACATAATATTTATTTCAACTTACTTATGTAATGTTAACTACCCTAATTCAACTAAAAAACTCAAATTTTTTAGAATTTATCAAGGACATGCTTTAAATTTCAACATGATGATGTTATCAAAATTCACACGATACTAGTATCAAATTTTTTCAAGTGTGATACAAATATAATTGAAACATAAATTATGCAAAGTATTCATATAAGTTGAAAAAAATTTCTGGATTAGTAGATAGATAGATTTTTATAAAATATCAATATTTATATTTAAAAGAAATTTATATATGTGAAATAGGTCTTTAAGGGTGAACTTCTAAGTTAGGGGATTGAATACCTGAAATCCAACTAGCAATCATATACTTTGCAAACTGTTTGTGGATCTCATGGAGCTCTCAAGTAGTTACAATGAGAAGTAACTTAAGAAGAGTCAGATCTACAATTTGACACATTGTCTCTCATGTTTACAACATGAAATTGGTTAATCAAATCATCAAATGCATGTCTATCTAAGTAAAGTTTTAAAATATATTGTCTCCTAAAGAACAAATCACACGAACTGGCATGGTCAATTCAATGATTACGGCAATAAGGATTTTTCCATTGGACACCTACCAATAATTGTATCAACAACGTAAGCATGACTCGCAAATGTTTGTTCAGCCCCTCCGAACCATTCCCAGTATCCTGCACTTCCTTGTGTATATTAAGTGAGAAAAATTTTAAGCTCGATCATGATTCCCCAGTCGAAGAGAAGGAAACCTAGAGCTGCATATGTATTTGGACTTTCTTCAACTGCAACTCAACTTTATATATAGTATGTTACACACATTTCATCTGGCGAAGACTTATGTAATGTTAAAGTTCTAGCGTTTCAAATGTAGCCATTATAGATCAGGAGAAAGTTTGATTGATTTTCTATATTCGGGATTGGAATATGATCAGCTTCATAGTTGAGCAATAGCATCAAAACTAGCAACGTTTAAATGCTACTGATTTTATGCATGTGCTAAAGGATTTGTTTCGATCAATCATGAATAGTTAAATGGTGTATAATATTTGGTATTGCAGATATACATCCTTTTTATATCTCAACATTAACTGTGACACATACCAACAATTCATTGTTAATTCAAATTCCATAAATTAGTCAAAAATTTAGACAAAACAATTGTTGTGTGAAGCATGGTTAACCCTTGAAATGACTTCCCATGTCTATCGGTGGTTGGCCAAGGTATACCCAGATAACCTTGACAACAGTAATCTGTCCAGATCATCGGGTCATCTCTTTCGTTGGTGTGACAAGTTGAGCTTGGACAGTGTCACTCTGTCGTAGCATGACATAGGAATCTAAACCCTTGACGTCAAGCTGTCAGGGAGTATTATCGATTATGTGACGATCCCATACGTTGGTTATGTTTCAGAAAGTTCGGCACTAGTATTTTTATCAACGAGGGAGGTCACATAGGATGTGTAAGCAAGCATGGTAAACACCACATTCATGAGTGGTTTACACTTCTCCATGATTCATTCTTCTTTTCTTCAATTCTTTGGACTCTAGTGTTTTGGGCGTACTCGCACTTTCGTGTGTTTCTATTTCCCTCTTGTGTACATATTGCAATCTCGCCGATTTTGCTCACCTCGATAAGGAAACCCTTGAACTGCATTGGATTCGTTTAAGCTTCGTGGGAGAGTGACAACTTCTGTAATGGTTAATCGCTCGTTTATATGGAGGGAAATTGATCATTGCAATTTCTGATGATTTGTGCTCCTTTTCCAAAATGCTTCGCAATTTGTTCTTTGTTCTGTCTATGCTCTTTATCCCCATTGAATAAGCACGTCTTAATGAGTTGACGTCGCAATCAGCTGCTGATGGTCTTTTCGTCCTTGTTGCAACGGAACTGGTGAATTCAACAGTCCGAATAAGTTCTTTGAAAGTTCTTTATCTTTGTATGACCAACATGAGGAACGGCAAACATTAGGTATGTACTTCTCAATCTCAATGTGAAATGAGTTTAAGAGCACGCTCATGCAGTGTATCAACACCGAACTTTACTACCTTTCAAATGTCAATACAATTCCCAAGATATAAACATTACATTGCAATATTATATCTATGACCCTCTTTTACTGAAGTTCAACCTTGGTTCCTGACGTGTTGCCTTAAATTGATCTACATTGTCTCTCTAATCCGACCGACTGCTTAGATATGTCAGTGGTCAGTCTAGTATATGGGACGGGAACACCAGAATGCAGTTAACTATCTCTTCCACTGGCATGAATTGAGGAGAATCAAATAATTTGACTCAGTCAAAATACTTACACAAACTCAGCTATTATAGTCGATCCCAAAGACGCTGCTCGTCCAAACAGACAAAGAAAATGTGTAAATAATTAACCGTGTAGATTCCAATATCCACATTATCAATTCCTCCAGATCCAAGAGACACATGGTGTACGGTAAGCTTATAACTAACATCAGAGTGAAATCTTCAAGAGCAAAAGATCCATGCAGTCAGAGCTGTGCCAACGTCTCTAACGGACTGTTGGTTCGCATTCGACATCAAGCGTCTATGTAGTACACATTATTGTCAACGTCCAAACATGGCAGGAATCAATTAATTAAGTTAAAGGATCAACCAAAAAAAGGTCGTAGCATAACAGTCAACTTATGTTCGGTGAGGTCAGACTTGACAAGTCTTTCCAAAACTGTGACCTTCGACATCTTAGCACCCAGCTTCCCATCGTCAAAAGTACAGAAACTTGTCAACAATCTTCCTTCTCAGGACTCTATTTACGTGACATTCAGTAGGACATTGCAGTTTTGTTCTGGCTAGTATACGCTAGCTCATATATATATGCTTTCAATATCCCCTTCTAGAGAAACGACATTTGTACAGAAGTAATAATCTATTGATGACCTGTTAAAATTCAATCAGCAGATGTATTGTGCAGACAGCGAACCAGAGCAATCAGTCAAACTGTCCTCCTAAGCGAGACTCCTCCGACCTACTTTTATTTCCCTACAAAAATTAGTTGCACTGGTGCTCATCAAAAAACTGCCTCCCCTTCGTCGCCCTTCACGTCGAATGAGAGTTGATGCCCCGACAGGTCTTATCTCATCACACTGAGCACATTGTGCAAATCCAGGTACAGAACTAGTTACAAGAAAATGCTCAAAGCACATGGGTAAATCTGGGACACATCTACTAAGTAACACTCGGTGGCCAAATCCTTGAAAAAACTCAGTGGGAACAATGATTGTTGTTCCTTACCCAAAAAACCATCTCTGATGTGACATGAAATCAAACAGGCTGGCCTCAGCAGTGCCTCCAATTTCAAGCCAGTGCATCCACACATTACGCCCTCATTTCTGGCATATGGGTTCAGATACAGTCGGCAAAGCTGACCTGGTGCTGTGAGTGGCATCTTCAGGTCTGAACGAACCAACTGCCTGGCTAGATTGTGCTCCCCCAGTGTGAGCTTGGCAAACACCATTGATGAAGTCGCAGTCTTCAAACCAACTGTCACTAAAAGTCTGGGACCCGGGTGTTGAACCAAAACAAGGAGGAAGTCCACCGCACTGCGGTCCTTCGGGGAAATATCCTCCTGGTGGAAACATCTGCTCTTCAGGGCTGTCACCTTCAGCCCGTAGTTTAGATGAGGTGAGAGCAGGCTCCTTCCTTGATACCGTGCTCGCACTCTGTGTCACTTCTTCAGGGCTCAATGCAGTGCAATGAGGACTGGAGTCGGCGGTCATTTCAGTATCCTGGCACATATCAGTCATAATTTCACAGCCCCCTTCCCAGCTAAGGTTCTCGACGCGCTGTTGCTGGATCAATTCCGGTTGGTTCACAGCCTTGAGGCCATTGAAACAAGGGACTGGAGCGGCGCAGGGCACTCCGCCAGCATGATAGGCAATTGGAATGGGATGTGAGGAGTTGCTCCTCCGCCTGGCGCCTTTAACGAAGCCGACGACATTGCTTTTGTGATTCGAGACAGATGCATTACAGGCGGCTTTAGTGCTACCTTCGGCATGAAACGGTGTGCACTGGGCAGACACCACGTGGGCTTCCGACTCTGGATCGTGACACACGGTGTTCACATGCTCGCACTCAGTGTGCCATCCGACACTTGCCATGCGATCAAGATCCGTGACCCCGGTCTGAGATGCTGGCCGGGCTGGGTAACATGGCAGAGGCGCGGCACATGGCACCACGGAGGAGTAGTAATTGCCAGGAGGAAGGTGGGCCGGTCCGGAAGCACAACCGTCGACTCTGGTGGCGAGGTTGAGAGGGTGTTTCTGAAGGCTTGTGGAGTCCAGCTCCGAATCGATGAGTCGCCTCAGATGAAGGAGAAGAGTCTTGAGCCTCTTATTTTCGGCGTTAGACTGGTCCAATGCAGCTTGGGTGGGCACCTGCTCCAACAATTTCCGTCGAAGTCTGAGATTCTCTTTCAAGAGCTCGGGAATCTTGGAATTCTCCTTCTCCAGTTCCGCGTTTCTGACTTCGAGATTGACCTTGACGGCCTTTTGCTTCTCCCTGTACTTCCTGACGGCTTCCTTGTTACCTGAAGGTCGTTTCTTCTTGGTCAGCTTCTCCTCGTCTCCGCTGGCGATCGTATGCGTGTGAGTGTGCTCGCACGTATGGGTGTGAGTGTTGTCGGGACCTGTTGTAGGATTGCAAATATGTTTGTGAGAGCACACTTGCGTCGTTCGCATGAGATTGTCCCAATCACTCTGAATGATACTACTATCATCCAGAAAATGCGAGTAATCGCTAGATTGCAGACCCCGTAACCCTCCTGAATCCGGAGAATCGACCTCCCCGTCGTCCATCATAACCCACGACCGCTTCAACTCCGCTCCCCTTCACGCAACACTGCAAATCTTCTTCTGCTTCTTCGTCTTCTTACTCCTACTCCTCCTCCTCCTCCTCCTCCTCCTCCTCCTCTTCCTCTCCACCACTTCCAACAGAACGACCCTGCACCATCATCAATATCAAAAACCACTTCCTTCACAAGGCAATTCGCACCACAATGCAACCACCCGATCATTACCATCATCGCTTCCTTCCTTCCCTTCATCTTCCTTCCTCTCCCTAAATTCTCACCATCCGGCCCCGAAGACAAAACAAGGCAGTCAGTCATTTGAATACCCTAGACAATGTACTCGATTTCACTTCTCTTCACCCTGCGTCGTCTTCTCTCCTCTACTCTCCTCGACTCGCCTCTCTTCCCTAGCGCCTGGTCTCAAGCCCAATAACACGAAGCAACAAAGACACCGGTTAACACAAACCTCATCGACACTATCCTCTCCCCTCCAGAATCAATCCCCCTTCACCCCGATTGCACCCCTCCTCTCCACAGCGCAGGAAAAACAAGACTTTGTGGTTCTTCACCTAGCCCTCTTTCTCGTTCTTATCTCACTCCCCAATCAATTCCTCAATCAACTGCACTTTATTCCAGTCCCGCCATTTCTCTCATGCACCACCTCCTCCTCCTCCTTCTCCTCCTCCTCCTCCTCACGAGAAGCTCGATTTCTCACCTCTGCACTCGAAAGAGAATCTTCGAGACTATCCAGCTGCGATGTCGTTCTTGAAGCTGCTGCGCCCGGAAGATCCTGCCGATCGCTCGCTCGCGCTCTCTCCCTCTCTCTCTCTCTCTGTCTCGATATCGCTCACTACGAGGTTACTTCTTTAGCCTTCCCAGCGAAGAAATAGCAATAGCTGCAGCACCACCACCAGCAAAAGAGACCGAGGGCAATTGGGATTTCCTGAACTCGGCTCATGCTCGCGCCCCGCACTTCTCTGCTGCTGCTCGCGTCCAGCCTCCAAGGACCCGGTCGCGTTCTGCTCTGGGCTCTGAGCCCGGCCGTGCCTCGGATTTCTTTCGCCGACCTGCGCTTGCGCCTTCGCCTCCGAATCAGCATCTGCGCCCTCGCGGTCGCGGAATTTTAAATACGGTAAGCACCTTGGGGCCTGCCTGTGGACCAGCCCCGCCATAGCCATCCCACACCCCGTCCTCTACGCCCCCTCCACCCCTCCCTCCCTTCCTTCGGTCTCTGTGTCTGTCCGTCCGGTGGCCCGTCAGTCGATCGGGCCGACAAGAAGGAGGAACGAAAAGATTCCTCCGTGTAAAACCATCTCCCTCCGGTTGCGTCAGATGCGTCCTTCCTCAGCTTTGACTCCCTTTCATTCGTTCAGACAGAATCTCTTGGCTTCTCGACCTTCTCGAGCTTCGCTGCTGAGCTGAGCTGAGCTGAGCTGAACTGTTGGATCTTCGTCGTCCAGTTGTTACCTGCATTCTCTCTGAATATTCACTCTCTCTCTCTGTGGAAAAATTGCTCACCATTCACTCCTGATTCGCCACTTTGACCCACTGTGCACAGGCCCAAATTTTTATTATTTCCGTCTCACCCACTTCCTCCATCCCTGGTGCCCACGGCCATTTTGACTCCACCCCTTTCTCCCTCTGCTAGGGAGGGACTCCCAATGGCACTACAGAGCCGAGAATACAGTTCTACAGTTTATGATGGTCACCCTCAAGCTTATACCTTGTCAGAGTCGATGGATGGTTTTCTCATTTCCTCCTTCCCTCATGGACGATGAAGTTAAACCTCATGCAGTAAGAAACTCTGCATTTATTTTACTCCCGGTTGACTTTTGTCCAGCACCACGCTCAAGCTCGACTTCTTCTGAGTCTGGGTTATTTGGCTCACTGATGAATTAACGTAGGCCAGGCGGTCGATGGTGGCCACTGAGGAGATCTGCTTTTGTGCGATGGTGCAGTTCTCTCTCACACCATGAAGTGTTACTCTCCATAAGAGTGGTGCACATTAATCAGGCTCCTCCTGGACAAACAAACAAAACGACATTCCAGAATTAGTGATTTGAACGGCGATTTATGAACTCACTGAAGACTCACTCCACCCTTATCTGGACTGTACTACTTTGGCAGGCTCTCGCAACATCCAGCCTTTGTAACCACAAGTAGTCAGTCTTGCTGGTCAAGGCCGACACTCATCCTGTTTTCCAACTGCGCATGTAGGCAGGCGACCATGTTCAGTTTGGTCTGTTCATTTTCCGATTTGGCACCCAACAACGATGGGGGAGTGATGTTTTCAATCTCCTCGCCGACTTACTGGTATCGGATAGTAGATCACTTTCCTGCCTAGAAATGGATACGAATGTTAGTTCTATCCATGGGGTGTTCCAGGCTCTTAGACTGCAAATTACCTCTCACCTGCTATTGGACGTGATGTGAACATAATTCTCAATCTCCAATGAAGAAAGAGAATCCTTCCCGAACATAAATTGATGCAAAATTTTATCCCTTCTTATTTTTCTTCCTCTATTCAAAGGATAATCACACGATCATTGAACAGTTGTCTTTAATGATACTTCCTTTTTTTTCTCTTTCTTTTTCTTTTTCAACTCCTAATCGATACAAATTCAAAATCATATGTGTCAAATCTTCCAAATTGGGGGTAATTAGTTCCTACCACTACTAACCAATCTAGGAGATTGATCTTAGACCAATTCTAGATTGAGTTAATTCTACATTTTAAAATTGGAAAGAATTTTCCTTAAATATAAATTTTTACAAAATCGTCCGTGGAGAATTGTACTCTCCCGCTCTCCTACAAGTGTTCGAATATAATTTTTGACCTCATATTTTTGCCTCAATCCCATATTTTCAATCTAACGATGTTTCAACCTAATAGATTTAGAAGGCTGTTTATAATGTGCCTGAATTACGAGTCGGACTATATCTATATCTTCCATTCGCATGGCTCTGCAAACGACAACCACGTTCCGATTTGACAAACACAGTGCCACCGGCAGACCGGGAGGGATCGTTCGTCGCCGCTTCTCAATTAGGACAACCATGTACGCCCTTCACTGGCAACGAAAGGATGTGGTTGTCTTGACCTCAGACTCGGTTCCTCAGCATGTGTTCCAAACAAGTCAAAGCCACTATTGGCTCAGCCACAAGGCCAAGTTCGAAGCTTATGTCGCTGAATCCTATCTATAGCTGTGCGGAGGCCATACCTAAAGGTGGTTTTGTTCTGTGCATGACCCGCTTTTTTAGCAGTCTGCTAACAAAGATTTGGATAGCGGATTTCGGTTCTCTGGTTCTCTGAATCTGAGACTGTAGTTTCACACCGCTAAATTAGTTAACCCTGTCCAGAGACGGAAATTTACGTCCCACAGATATATTGGAGAATAGGGTCGAGCGCACGTAGCCTGACAGTGAAGTAATAAAATTATAAAATACCAAAAAAAGTGAACTAGCTACAGTGAGCAATGTGTTTTAAAAAAACGAGTAAAGGAAAAATTAATAAAGAAAATGTGGATGTAGGGATGATTCCTGAACACCAGTCACTGCCCATTTTCTGCATGAGAGATGCAGTTATGTTTCTTTTCTGATCTATCAGTGGTTACGAAATGATGTTCTAGGCTTTTCAAGCTACGCACTTCACAGTATGTAGCATTGCAAATAAATAAATTCGGGAAATCATAAGCATGCATGGATGAAGAAACAGTTGAGCTAGTTACCAACAGTAAGCGGTTGCATACTTCTAGAAAATCTCAAGGTTGTGCGTATGAAGTTTTTACATATTGAAACAAAGCTTTCACCCGTCTATCCACTTTCATATCGAAATGCGATGAAAGTGGATAGATTACCACTCTCATCTCATGATACAAGAAACTAAGATACACATAACTCGAGTGGAATCAAAATGAAATTCCCTAACTGCATTAAACAAAGAGAAAACTTCAGTATGGTATCATTATTGATCAAAATTTCAAATATTAGCTGATTTTGTTCAAGGACAAGCATATATGTTACATCCTCGTAATTGCTAAAGCAAACATAAGACTGTATGGGAGAAGATAATCTAAAGCAATTTTTATTTTATCTCTGAAATATACTTAAATTTTTTTAAAAAAATTCAAATAATTTAAACTTATGAATGCCAATGATGAAATACAGACAGACAAGCTCATTTATTCATAAGGATATGTGTGCACCAATATTTTTGAATGACTCAGAACATATTATATATAGACCAAATTTAATAAGATTTACAAATAATCTACACGTCTTGAATCATGACGAATATTATAGGAAGATTTATTATCAATTTTATGTGATTAGTTCAGTTTTTTCCAAAAGAGTCTTGCAAGAAAAAGGAGAGCGAATTTTTTTATTCAACAAATATACTATGTATAAACATTTGTCTCATGTTTTGTTATCAATGAAAGGAAGGTTGTACAAATACTACTTAATAGAACTTATTAGAAATGTAGTTATTTATTTTGAATGGAAGATGATTCTAAATTAATATAATGTACCCAATAGTTTGATACCACAATAAAAGCTTCAAATCTCAAAATGGCTGGACATATACTGCTACACATCCCTATTATTATATATCAACTGAGCCAGTGTGGTCGGCTCGCAGCCATATAGAGAAAGAGAAGGAAACAAGAAAAGGAAAAGAAAGTCCTTCTTCGACATCATTCTCATCAATTTTTCCAGTGTTTTATTTTTCCTTTCCCCATGTGTAAACGAAGATGCTTAAGCGGATAAAAATTATATATATATATATATATATATATATATAACTTGATGGTGAGGACCCCATCAAGTCGAAAGCTGCCATGGATGGGAAGGAATGAATGAAGGAAGGGAAGCTCCTTACTCAACGCGTATATTGTTGGAGGCAAGATTGTGATGAGATTTGCATTACAACTACAAGGAAATAATTCTAGTGTTAACAAGAAGAGATTGTGGGTGCCACACGTTCTTCGAGCTTTCGTCCTCTCTCTCACATTGCGCAATAAATAAATATCATGCTCACTGTTCGGCTCGTTCTCCGATCTGTGGACGGATCGTTGTTCTTCGTCTGTGTGCCCTCGCAGCCCTCGATGGATGCGTTCCCTCATCAGGTCCATCTTGCCCTCGGACATCGAGGAAGTTTCCAGCTCGTCGTCCTTCCACTTTCGTCCGCCATGGGTTGGGCATCGGTCTTTCTGGCGTCTTCCTCAAATCATTCGCTTGCTTTGCCATTTGGGTAAATTATTCACCGCCATGACCGCCTCGCGAGAACATTGCAAGGTTTGGTGCTCGCGGGTTGAGAACATGATCGGTGCGCGACGGCACGATGGCCCGACCGAGAGCCTTGCGAAAGATAGATAGCAGCACAGGGCACGCGAAATGACAAACGACTCCGAATGGAAGGAACATCACAGTGCGCACTGTGGTGGACACTACAGTCTATAGCGTAAGAAGCAACAGAAGATTTAGCGAAGAGGACGACGAGCAGAAGCGAGAGTGAGTGAACGTGAGTCGCGTGATTGACGCGAGGTACGATTTCGGTCACCTCAAGCCAATTTCGAAGGTGGTGATGGTGATGAAGAAGATTCCCCGGACCTCTTGATCCACAGTATTTCGTCGTCAGTCAGTCGGTTCATCTCTTCGTCCTCGTCCGAGTGTAACTTGAATATCCCTGTATCGGCGATGGAGACGACAATTGGTCGCATCAATCAAGCATAAATCTGTAAAGGGAAATTTCACCACATCTGAATAAAGCTGCATCTTGGGCCAGTTACCTTTCATGCCCTAAACGATCTGATCTGCATATCAGAGACCGCCATCGACAACCGGACCGCCTTCTACTACTTGTGGTTCGCTCATCACTGTCTGTTACTGCTTGACTGCAGTGGAAGACGGTCTGTCCCCTTCTCACCTTAATATTCGCCTTCATCATCCACTGTTACTGCTCGGAGATTCATCTCCGTGATTACATTGCCTGTCTTGAGGTGAGTCGACCCCATAAAGTGCCTCTGGAAAGCGCTAGCTCGTGCCCAGCTCGTGGCAGTCTGAAGACTAGCCACATCAGATTTGGAGTAGAACATTTTAATCTACGCGTTAGAAGCAATCCGAAATTACGATGGGAAGGTTTTCACTGCGGGGCAGTTGTTGGATTTTGCCCGGTTGAAGCTGCAACTTTGTCTAGTGCAGAGCTGATAGTATTATTTCCGATACGTATGCAACCAGAGACGACACACGCCAGGACGCAGCTGAATCTCGAGGTTGCCGAAAGGAGCCCGCTGGAGGGGCATTCGAGACATAAGACAAAGCCGTAGAGGGAGGTGAAATCCAGAGAAAACCCCACGCTTTCGTATACGCATTCTTCGGAAGAAAGTGAGTGAAACCGGGAAGAAATTTGTTTTAGCGCATCGAGGAAATTGGACCCGAGGATGCCTTGCTCTCTGGTCTGCAGGTCTGCAGGTTGCGTTGCTTAGTCTGGCCTCTGACCAACTGCTAGATGAGCACCGGCTCTTGTGGAATCTTGAGGAAAAGTGTTGCGTGTGCCATGGAGCGCTGGACTCTGTAGTGGACTAGCCATTTCTTCAATCGCTTGAAGAGGTCATAGCTGACAGGTGATAGCTGATCATTAACGTGCTAAAATTTCCGTTCACTATTAATGCATGATAGTTCAACAGCAGATTTCCGTCTCAAATCTGCACTAATTGGCAAACTCATTTGGATAATATCAAGCGACTTTCATAAGGACCGGCCCCAACATTCCGATGGTCTCCCTCTCCAGATCCCAACACTTTGTGAAGCGAACCAAGACAGGGCCTCGAGAATACACCCGAAGCATGAAGAAATGATATACAAAGTCCAAGAGGACGCATGAGGATCGTCGAGGGACCAATGAAAGAATTGGGTGAAATTCATTTACTTTTGAAGAAAGAGTAAAAGTACTCGATATGAGCGGCAGGACAATGAATGAGTTCAGAAGGTGTGCCAGGAAAGTAAAGCCCTATTGTAACCTGCAAAGGACCAAGATTACAAGAGAAATTGCACATGTGAAATAATATGTGTGTGTCTGTTTGTGTGTGGCATTTGCTTTCCAATTCCCTATTTCAGGGTACTGCAAGTAGCAGGGTAGTCTAATATACTGCTCTTTAGCCTCGCGATTCCTTAGCTGCATGTAGACAGGTAAGACACTGAGTTAAAAACGGATACAGGGGAAGGGAAGGAGGAAAACAGAGAGTACATCAACTCGGTGATTCACACTTTGCCCAATGCGCGACTCAACATGCCATCTACGTATTGAGGAGGAAGAGTAATTTGAGTTGTTGGTCTCAACAGGCTGCTTGCCACCATACAGCATGTTCATATCCTCAGGCAAGAGTTGCCCATATAAGCATGCAGAAGTGGACGATGATCTGAAGGAGTAAGGGTCTCACCACTTCGAACCTGTTCCGTTGGACGTGGCTACCTGACGTGGTTGAGAAGAAGCATTCATGCTGCGGGCAAGTTCGATGCACTTATCCATGGGACAGTTCGTCTTCACGGCATTTGCATTCACATGAGATCGACTTGCTACGAAACCCTCCTGATGTTACCATAAATCAGTAAGAAATTCAGTTCCAGAACAATCTTGCACAAGTGGGTTTCACAATGCCAACAACTGGCCGGACTGGTCACGGTTTTTTTTCTGGCCAACTTTGGAGGTTTGGATCTCGAACCTGTTGCAAGAGCTGGATGAAATCGTTGCGCCGAGGAGTAGTTTGCAGCTTGCCTCTCTTGCCAACCTGAATACGGTAATGCAAAACATAATCAGAAGCCGGACAAGCTGTGTTAGAAGATTCTGAACTTATATCCAGATGTTCACCATTAGACCTGTGATTAATTTCGATGGTTGCATTTGCACCTGAAGTCAGTTCTTATTTACCTCATGCATCTCGATGTAACCGGATGGCAGACCAGGCTGACTTTCGTCCACCATCACCTCCAAAAGCTGTTCCAAGATCCGCATGTCCGCTGGAGAGTCAGACCGCGATCTCTCCCCAAGTGCCTTGATCCAGCCCCACTGACGTGCAAGTTCGATCATGCTCTTCACGTGCTCCGTCTCATGAAGAGGACCTAACCACAAAGGACCTGACACTACCAATGATCCTTTTGCCTGCTTCACCAGATGGCAGACGTACAAAAGTAAGATGCTGTGCAGCCGAAAGCATGCTACAAAAGCTTCATTTTCTCAAGCCTCTACAAGCACAGACGGCCGCACGCCATGTTGTGATGCGTAAGGAGAATTAGTAAGCTTTCACTGAACTACCTTCACGTGAGAGCACCGACACGCAATTTCCCCCAGATCCTCAAACTGAATGTCCTGCGACTGTCCACACAGTTTGCAGTATACGATGAAACCATAATTTCTGCACACAAGTTCGATATCCCAGGTCAATTTTCTGGGGCTTCTTGACGATAAAAGGAACTGGAAAGTTCAAGATTGTTCTTCAAGATGAGTTTGTCAATGAATCTCTCAACCGCCAAAGCTCCATAACTTCTACCTAGGTACGTCCAGGTTTGCTGGAGGGCTTTGAGGAAATACATCATGCATACCCAGAACAGCTTCCTGCCAACATCGAAACATTCTAATTTGGAGACAAGATGTACGAGTAAGCCGAACTAATCCACCGATAATGTGGTTGAGAGGCTCTTGTGAAATGGAATCCAGATGATGGATTCCATTTCTGGAGAAAGAAACATGGCGACGAGAGAAAGGCTTCGTAAAACTAGACAATGATTATAGGTCGAGCAATTCTCTGCAGCGAAGCTTTCAGTAAGGCATTGTGGCATAGGGCAGTCGCACTGGCCATGAATGAACATGCAGACAGATGAACATTTGCAAAGGTTCATGCAATGCCTTGCCTATTTCTGAGCCATTTTCCTGGTTCGACACGCAGCATGGTTCTGAAGACAGGACCGTGGTACGAGTAGTTCGAAAACACAGGAACAATTTTCATATTTCGCGTCGCAGCTTCGCGGACTGCGCCTCCGATCAACATTCGCAATCCGATTTCATTCGCATACGGCATTGGATTCACAAATCCTCCATAAGACGCCAGCGCACTGCACGGTAACCCAGTACACTCTTCAGTGCTCAACACATCCTTCAGGTAGACGAAGCCTTTTCTGCAATCTGGAGTTTCTAAAATTCTCGACAAGAATTCATATCTTCGATTGAGCAGTTTGATCTTCGTCTGTACCCAGAATGATTTCTTAAACGAATGATGTTAAAGCGCACTCTTTGCAACAGAAATCAGAGCATATGACTTTCACAAGGCTTTCGAAGGAATAGAACGAGGCTCTTACTTATGAGGACGATGACCACCAGCGGAGAAGCCGTCGGTGGAAGTCAGGTAAACCAGACCACCATGTTTGACTGCTGCCAGAGCTGGTCCCAGACAGAGAGTGTCGCTCCCGAAGGAATCCACATCTATCAGATCGTAGTATTCTCTGCGCACCGCACAGCCCAGGAGCAACTTATTTGCATCTTCCCCCGAAATCCTCCAGCGCTCAAGCTCTGCCTCTCGTGCCTGAGTAAAGTCCGTATGCCTTTGTCATGAGGTGCGAGAAATCATTCAAGGACCACCAGCATCACGCTCATGAGATTCTACCGAAGACAGTTTATAAGCGCCCCATTGTATACGAGACGAGTGCGACAAGTTGCACAGAACTGAGGAGCATTGTCCGAAACGATCAAAAGTGTCGTGAGTGCGCGCAAGACATAGATTCTCCTTTGATTGCTTGAAGCTCTGGTCGACACATGCTGCGACTGGTGGTTAGTTTTCAGTCGCCCGGGAAGGATGAAGTTGAGTTCTCCTGAGGTTCATGAATTCAGTGATAAACAGATTGTTTCAGACTGACAGGCATGAAATCGTGACAATTCATGATTTTTACAGCCTGCCTTGAATCATAAATCGTTTGAATTTGACATTCATTCGGGCAGTCTTGATGCTCAGTGTTGTCCAGAGACGAACTGAAATAGACCTGTGCAGAATTGAGCCTTACCTCGAAGTCCTCCGTTGCTGCTTTCTGTGCCTGGGATAAATTCAGAGCGAGAGTTTCCATGAGTTCGTTACAGGCATCATTCGCCCACACAAAATCGGCGCGCGCTTGCAGAAGGTAGCGCACAGAACGCACTCCGCAGCCACTCATCACGTCCAGTACACGTAACTGACCAGTCTGCTGGCGGTGAAGTGCCGCCAGCAGGATTCCTAAATCCCGAGCTAACGAGCTCTGTCGTCGATAAAATGCAGGTCCCACTTGGAAGGGTACTCCTCTCTCCTCTTGGGCAAGCATTCGAACTGGTGATAGACATGGCGCAGACAATGCCATCGAGGAAAATCCACCGATTCCTCTGCAATGGACGACCATGGCTGGATGGCTATGGCCTGCTAGGAATGACATTCAACCTTGCCTTACCCAGCCTCAAATCCTGACTGAGAAAAGTCAAGAAATGCAGTGGGAAGGAATCCAACACGGTGAAGCAGATTCATGCCGTAGTTTCAGATGTGAAGCTCATCTCTAAGTGCTTTACTGTCACTGTCGTCCCTACATCGAAAATGAATCCAGATTTGCAGTGCGTCTGTAGCCCAGCCCTGGCACGCGCTGTAGTTGAATTGTTCAACTTCTTGCTCGTCCACCCTTCTCGTATTGATCATCGCTCCGTAACACAGCATGGCTGCCCTCGTTAATGTGCTCTTTTAGGATTAAATTATCCAGGCAGCCACTTCTCAGGCACAATATGGCGACTAACTTGATGTCAGGTAGATATCGCTTTCACCGTGTAGAGAGGCGTCATAATCGGAATAAGTCTCTATGAGTCTCTATCCTTCACATATCCTTTCCACCACACTTGATAGCTGTGCGACTCTAAGGATTTCTGTCGGTATCATTCAGCATTCAAATGATTTCTGGGCTTTCACAGAGCGTAGCTCGAGTGCGCAAGACATTTCCTCATCTAGCGGACCCGACGCTTCATTTCTACCCCAGTATGATAGTTGCGCTATTAAGAGACGAATCCTCACTCGTACATGGTTCTGGTGCTAGTAAGAGTACTTCTTCCCTTGTGAGGTGTAAACTTCGAATTTTGAGCCCTAGTACGATATAACTTGAGTTGGACATCCTGAATTGTGATGAGGGTCGATGGTCTTGACTCTCGGCTTTCTTCGAGGAAACGTTTTTCACTTCAAGGATCATAAACGTCATGAAGGTGTTTCCAGTCAAGGAACCTGGAATTCTTGCACGTTCCCAGCTTTTGATTTTCCGACAACTCGCTTATTAGTCTCCTTCCTTTCACTATTCGTAGTTATACCATGCAGCTTGGACGAAACTGACGATGAATTCAGAACAGAGAATTGATTCCATAATAAGTCCTGCATTAATGCATAACGTGCTGTGGAAAATCCCGCCTCAAACGACGATACGTCGACTCAATTCTGCACCTGACACAATTAACCTCTCGGACTCATCTCGTCAGCCGTAGATTTAAGTCAATCAGATTCACAAGTACAAGATGTTCCACTATACACCAAAGATTTGGATCTCAAGATTCACCTCACTCAAATATAGCAGTCGATACAACAGATTCAGACCATGTGGAATATGCCCAACCAATACCCCCAAACAATCCCGCGAGTTTGCGCACACATGGGCGAGTTTGATCACAAGAATCCGTGTTCTGTTCCATCCAGATGTGAAAAATCGTGTTTCCAACCACACCACAAGGTTTGCTTGCCCAGCAAACTACTGCTCAAGTTAATCCACTTTGTATCCAATGTGGACCGAGACTAGCGATGTAAATTGGGCGGAATTAAAAAGATACTCTAGCAAGGAACTATGAAGAATTTGAGATCTTATTTCACTAACCCGAGCAAAATGCTTAAACTACAAGAGAATCAATGACTTACTACTGTACAGAAAAAATTTAAGTCCACGTGGGCACTTACGAGCCTACCTACCTCTTACGTTTCTTCTTAGAGCCAGATTTTTTACCCTCGCTTTTCCGTTTCTCTGGATGTGGCAGAGATTTCGACTCGGAAACAGGCTTACTAACATCAGAATCGGCCCTTTTAGCCTCCTCGGTCTCAACTGTGACTGTCGGCTCTGCTGGAGCTAGAGCTGGAGCACTACTACCTCCCATTTCTGACTGTACACTCTTCAAAACATCTTCCCAGGTTACGTTCTCTTCGTCGTCGCTGTCCGCTTCCTTTTCAGCCTTCAATTCAGCGATGGCTGGTTTTTCATCTTCTCCCTCCGACTCGTCACCGTCACCCAAATCTTCGTCACTTCCGTAATCTTCTTCCACCTGATCATGAATGAAGCAAAGTAGAAAAAAGGGTGGCATCAAGGACACATACGTTTTAGACAGATCATATCTTAATGGAATTAAGTGTTCAGCTGACACTAGGGGTAACGAACATGTGACAGATCCAAACAAGAAGTAACGAACCTCCAGCGCTTGATTTGGCTCATCCTCAGCGTTGAAAAAGTCCTTTTGAACCGGCACCTTTCTTATTTTCTGCTTCGAGACAACATCTAAAATAACGGCAGCGGCTTCTTTCTCCTCCTTTGGTAGATCTTCAGAATTGCCGGTTGTGATCTGCAACAAATTACTTGGGATGTCCTTTGTTGGGGCCTCTTCCTCAGGTCTCTGTGGAGGGGGTGTGAAAAAAGGAATTCGACCTCTCTGCCAGTCGAATAGAACCATTTTAGCTGCAGTGTTCAAATCTGGTTCTCCACCCTGTGGTAACAGAACGACGAAATCTTTGTCAGTGCTCCCAACCCAACTTACGCGTCTTAAGGAGGTGATCTCCACAACGTGCTTCGCAATTCGACCTATTGATCGACGACAGTATTCATAATGGCCCTGTAGGACAAGCTCGACCGATGTAGCTAGGAACTTCAAAATTTCAACGTATCCATAAAGAGACAAACCTTGAGTAGCTTTCCCGTCACTTTGCACAGTTGGGTGAGGAAGTCTTCATCACTAGTCCTGGAAAATTATTCCAACATAATCTAAGTCCAAACTTTCGTTATGAAACAATTACCTTGGTGAGATCGAAAGGGAAGATGGTCTTTGTGCAGCAAACAAAGACTGCGTCAGCGTACATTTCGGCTTCCACAACAAAAGTGAGATGCAATCCAAAGAGGATCGGTCTCACCGACACAATTACAACAATTCTCAATTTACTTCACTCTCCAAACGCTTGATTGTAGTTAAAATATAGGCGAAGTTTTAGACCAGATCGCTTACCACTCCTTCACTTTATAAGCTCGAACAAGATAGTCCTTCTTTACCCTCGACAAAACCTCGCCAATGTGCTCAGTTGCATCTGCCAGATTCCCAACACGCACCTATATCGAAAAGCAAAGCACACAAATCAAAGTCAGTTGAACCGAAGGCGTCGCTCTTCACACCTCTCTTAGAATAGAGTCCACCAACTCTACGCGATGAGTACAACTTTACACGTCTGAATAAGAATGTAGGAAAATGTGCACCTGCCGACCGTGTCATTCAATAACTTCTTTCCAAGTGGTCACGAAAGACTGAAAAGCCACTCACCACTCCCTTCAGTACTATGTCAGTCTCGTTGTCGTGGCTCTGGTAGACGACTCCAGGGCAATCGATCAGAAAAATTTTCTTGGTAAGCGTAATGTACTGCCAGACTTTAGTTTCTCCAGGAATCGGTGCCACTTTGCAGACCTGAAAACATGAAAGTTCATCATGGTGTGAATAAAGAAGTCGCATGCAGTTTCATCACATCCTACTGATACTTACTTCGTAAATGGCCTCTACAGCATTCACAACTCAGGTACACCGTGAATAGTGAGAGTTCTTGAAGAGAAGAAACTTACGGCCTTGGTGCGAAGTGTATTGATCACTGAGGACTTGCCTACATTCGGATATCCAACAAATCCAACAGAGATGGCCTGCTTATCAGTTTTGAGGTGAGATAGTTGCCTCAAAAGAGATAGAAGAGAACCCTGCGAATGACAGAATATTATAAACTTGGGTGAGATTTCATGTGTCTTAACATTTCAAGAGTGACAATACAAATTCACGTGCCTGTCAGGACATCTAACCCCAGGATCAAAACCCAAGATGTATTATTCTGAGATGAAATTTGATCATTCTAAAGTCTGAGAGATAATTACCTTTCCAAACGGGTTCGTGACGCTGGCGTGGAATGCGAGAGTAGGAAATTCACGGGAAAGTGTGTGGAGCCATCCTTTCGTCACCCATGATGGGACTAAATCGCACTGACAGCAAAACACTATTGTCAATAGCAATCGAACGCCTGTACCAAGCACCTTCAAAACCTCGCACTCAGTGGATGACCGCCAATCACGCTAATAAGTACTGAGCTAAGTAAAGAAGCCGTAAATTTCAGCGATAACATTCAGCAATATACTAGTTCAACACGGTTTCATTGGTTCCTTTAAACCAACCTTGTTCAGTAAAAAGATGAGATGCTTATGTTTGCAGTTCGTTTTCAGATGTTTCTCCAAATGACGGCATCTGGTTCCTTCTGGATCTCGGGCGTCCAGTACCTGATAAATAGATAATTACAAGCAACATGTGGCATATCCAGAGTTTTGTAAGAACAATGCAACACAATCTTGGTAACACATACTCAGAGCAAGTAATGCTGCATAAAAGCACGTAAAACTGAAAGTTCAGTCAATTGGTGCTCGCGCACAACACTGTCAAGGATCATTCCTATAGGTACAATGATGATGTTTGGGAACTTACCTCCACAACAACGTCAGAGGAATCTATCACTTTGTAAAGCTCTCCCCATATTCGTTTACTCTGTCCCTTGTCAAACATACTATGTCGGGCAGCATCGCGAAGCCCATCAGTATCCTCACCGCCCAGAATCATTCCAGTTCCACCACCTTTGGTAAATGCATCTGGAGGAAAAAGAGTCGGTCAAGGCATGAAATTAGCTTCCTAGAGAACGTGAAGCACGGAAGATTTGAGATCAGGTGACAACATGACAGAACATTGAAAATGCTAACGAAGGATTAGCTTTTTAAACATACAGAACATATTCCATATGCTCGATTATACCTTGCCCAGCATCGACCTTTTCGACAAGTCCAGCATAGTCGTCGACAGCAAGCTTTGGGCGTCGTCTTTTCTTCTTAGGTCCGAAAGTGTCTTCAAATTTCTCTGTATCCAAGAGGTGAACTCTAGATTGCTGTACGCACAAAAGGGTGGCGTTAACTACTCCATCGCTCTCATCGCAACCTAGTATGAATAATGATCCCAGACTTCGCGAGCAAACGTAAATGGAGCAAGGAGAGTAGGACAGCGAATCTAAATCTAAGCAAATTCCTTGAATAATTGTCAGCAATTTTTTCTTCATGCTCGTCGTATCTTCAACTGACCTTCTGGCTATCAGTGAGCAATGAAAGAGGCAATTTCTTATCCTTCAATATAACAGTGTACGAATCAGATACACGTGTTCGCATCTCTTCCCTGAACGTATCCAACTCCTTCTGCCCAATAACTCGGGTGTTGCCTGATCCATGAGAGAACATTGCAGGAGTGAGGATAGACTCATGCGTGGTGCTATGTGGTAGTTGCCCATGCCTCAAAAGCATCACTGAATTCATAAGAGAATGCCCGCCCATCTGCAGCTCAGTGTAGGGGCCTAATTGTTGCGCCCATAATCGCATCCCGATATCACAGCACATTTGCGAAAGATTGAATTAGAGGGACCACGTAACATACCGAACCATCGCCGATCTGGCTGGATACGTGTGGAAGGAAGCGCATTCGATTGATACTCCTGATACAATTTCGTTCCCTTTTTATCACGAACGGGACGGTTCTTGTACATGTGCAGCCTGCGCACGGTGGCAGCGCTTCGAGTGCCTGGTTTATTATCTCTGTTCCCTTCATCGAGTGAATGTTTTGGTTTTCCCTTGACCTCCGGTCCCTTGGTCTTCTTTTTTCCCATTTTGGTCCTTCTTTCCTCAAGATGTTGATAAAAAATTCACCTGAATAGCTGCTGCACGAGACTAATTCTCTAGTCTAAGACTTCCCCACTCACGCCCTCAATTTCAGCGAGTCGGGAAGCAATCATCCAATGCTACAGCAATCCTCACGCCTCCACCATGGACCAAATTCTTCGAAGGCGACTCAACGCAGACGCTTGGTCGCCTCGTACCATCAACACCTATCCCATTTGCAAGATTAAGGGGAAATCTGCAACACTCGTGCACGCCTCGCAAGCTCTGCTCAGGCGAAGAGAGCGTGATGTGCCAAAGTCCTCTGTTTGATATGTCTCTCGCAGAATCTAACCTAAACCCTTGACAGAAACGAGCAGAACTGACGTCCATAAACCCTAACCCTAACGCAACACGGGTTTGCGTCATACTTTCCAGGCCATTCACTGCTTATTGCCGCAAAGTTTCAATCTCCTTCACACATATGGTCACGGATCAAAGCCTTATACGGGACATCACCGTCCGCAATTCCTCGCTCTAGAACTCTGCGGCATGATGATGCGATGCGTATCCGATCATTCCGATGCAATCTCTCTCGACAATATCGGTATCAAAAAATACAGAGGTTACATGGCGTCACTGTTATTCGGCTATGGTTGTTCCCTACGCACTCACCCCCCGCACCTATCTCATCCGATTGGGCAGATTTTTTGTCTCCAGGCCCTGCATGTCGACGAATGTTCCGCCTTGGCTATGGATTGAGCACCGCGATTTCCCACATGAATTACGGGAGTCTGAAATACTTCTTTTTCTTCGACTTGCAATATTTGTATTCGCAATTGACAGACTCGAGCGAATTTGGTGAGAAGTCAAATCAGTAAGCTGGTGCATTGTTAGCGTTCACAGCTGAGCATTAACATCCTTCCTCTCACAGGATTTCTCCGCATCCCGAGCAGTGAGAAAGCAGCTGGCTAGGGTACTTCTGCGTCTGCGTCAGGTCGAAGAATGAAGAAGTTGCTCAAAGGACGCAGAGAGCGGACAAGTAGCTCGAAAGCTCTAAATTCCGAAGCTGGAAACCATTTATCTCATTATTGAGGCAAGTCGTGCGTCGATGAGACGCAGTATATACTCGCTGATGAATGCTAGTCTGTACCTTTCATCTGGTGTGAGACCTTACGTGCTCAATTCGATCTGAGAAAGTATTCCAAGACTTTGACCGAAGTAACCATCGAATGAACGTCCTAATCGTTTCACGTGCACTTTGTTCTGTTGTCAATTCGTTGTATGCGGTTCACGCGGTGCTATAAGCTCGAACATTTCGTCGAATTCATCAAGATGACTTCTTTGAATTAAGGTGCAATCTGACGAGAATCGTTTGAAACGACATAAAATTTGTTGCGAACGGGTCTGTGGAGAAGGAACAGCTCAAGAACGAGTTTGTCGGGACTAAAATAGTTTGTCCGGAAACTTAGCTCGCTTTATGTTTGGCTACTATAACCCATATTCATAGACTTTGGTCTGGCAGAGGAGACGTGCACCTCAAATGAAAATCACCCATTATATGAAATGTCGATGAAAATCAACGAAGGCTGGCGCTGAAAACCATTTTCAGCGATCCCGATAAGATTCCCTGAACCTACCGTCAACGAACACAATTGACAGTACTCCGTTGTTAAAGATCATGTTAAACGCTGCCCAGGAGTACTTCGAAGATACATGTCACTGGACTGTAATTGCGAAGTGGGTAGATTGTAAGTGGGTCTGTTTCCCAGCTATACCTCTGCACATGTTTTCCCCCCATGCTAGCACGTGGTGTCAAGAAGACGGTGCCCGGACTATTTCCTTCCGGCCTTATGCTCTACAGTTGTGAGCATTGAAATTTGCATCGACAGATTCCAACCAGACATTCCTTGCTCTACTCATCTCACGCCAGAATGCTTTGGTTCCGAAAAGGTCAAGGTTTTTATATCAGAGCTTAAAATTGTGATCGACTTCATGGATGTGTGCCAACTTACGTGTCTGCTTTAATGGAGCTGTTTCAGAAGACTGAGACATAGCGACGGCTTTGAAGCTTTTGATAGCCTCACCTCACTCCGACATGTCTTACAGTTGACCTCCGCAGCGATTCAGAAGCACAGATTCTGATCCGATCAATTCTTAGTGACGCATCTTACGAGCATCTTACCTGTGGGACGGAGGGGGTTCCGGAGATGAACGAACATCTATGTCTATCACAGTCAAGGTTTGCTTGCGCTAGCGGCTCCCTCGCCGAGAATCCAAACCCCTCGAGAATTCGGCCTCATGCGAAATTCAATAGTATCGAGTTTGATGTTCGCTTAGCGAATTCCGCAAATCAATCTTGCGAATAAAACGCAGATGATTCAACAGATGGGTACAAACTGATCCCGAGATCAATGATAGAGACTCTGAGAAAGTCCAAGTGGAAAATCAGCACGTCATATCTTCATCGGCATCTGTCCACGCTCTGGATCAGACTCGCCATCGATTTCTGTTGCACTCACGATTCCATCGCTTCCTGTTCAGAACACCACTTCGCAGTGTACCGAAGAGTCCGGATACGAGTGTTATTATGACAGTGCACGGTGCATCAACCTCACACACTGCCACGTCAGCCGAGCTCAACTCACCACATGGGAGCAGATGGTTACAGCTCAGGTAGTGTTTGAGGCAGAAGAAACTCTGCCACCGCCGTGTTGGATAAATGGCGGCATTCCATGTCACCTGAAAGCGAAGCTGACGTCGACAAGCCGGGGACCATCGCTTACCGCACTATAGTCGAGAATCTGTGATTAGTCTAACACTTGCCTCGCCAGATGAGTAGGCGAACGGCTGAGATCGAATGAAATCTGGAAAGCACGCAGGTAGTTACCGTGGTGAAGTGAGAATGGGCTGACGGTTGAAGTGGAGGAGTAAAAAGTAGGCCTTTTCTATCGGGCTTACGTGGCACCGGAGCTGGCTCAGGCGCTGTGTTGTTCGATGGGCGGGGAGCGCCTCTTCCTTCCTTCCTTCGTTCCTTCCCTCCTTCAGATGGCGCCCCTGTTTCTCGCCCTTTCTCATTCGGCAAATTCATCGATCTCGTCCGAAAATTGGGCTCCGACTCTTCCTTCTGAGCTCTGTCAGAAGCGCGTTCGCCATCGCCTCCTTCGGCAAGAACACTTCCGATGTCCACTCGGTCCTCGTCGGAAGCTTCGTAATGTTTGCGTTGAGCCCAGGGCCCTCTTCTAAAGGCCATTCGAAATGGGAGATGGTAGACCGTGTCGATAGGATTCCATATGTTTCTTGACATGTGGAAGACTTATTTCTCGTTGGGACGTGGTGAGATTGCGGATGCCTGGAGAATTTCATTTATGGCAGATCAAGGCGGTTTTGTTCCTCGATGCCCGATACTGGACAAGATTCCTAAAGTCGGGAGAACTGAAAGGCTTCGTTCAAATAGTTAGGTTCGAAAGTGAAACGGCGATCAAAGTTGCAACAATGTCGGAATGAAGATGCACTTGACGAAAAGCGTTTACCGAGAGGAACCTCGCTCTGAAGAATTCCTCAGAAACTTTTTCAAATCTGGATTGTGCATCCGATTCGAGTATGAGCAACTGGTGCCAGTTGTCCAATTAAGCGTTATATGCTTTCGCGGGATATGAACGCTCTTCAAAGAGCCGCAGATGAGCAAAGCTGTTTATGTGCTGGACTGCAAGCATTCTCACAATGACACAGCAGCCCTAGCATCATTTGAGTTTCAGGAGGTATTTCCGTGAAGTCGAGTCGATTTTCGGAGATTTCTTGAGTGAATCTTAAGATATTTCTCTCCCCGGAGAGCTTGGGAGAATCTCCTTGATCATGCGTGAGGCATGCGTTTACTGCCACAGTGATAGAAAGGTTGTGAACTGAGGGGTTGACATGTTCCGTAGGCGTCTCAACGGAGTTGAAGGTGCTATTTCAAATTCTGTTCCTCACGTGTTTGAAATTAAGCTCTTCACTACGTGATGATCTTACACGCGTGTGTTATTTAAATGATTGGTGTTCGTATTCAGGGGTTTATGCGATGGATGAGTCGTGTGCACTTCATCAAGAGTATGGCTCCACAGGAACATATTACATGCTCAACTGAGACATCGGTCTTGAATGTATGCTACTACATCTCGATTGCTCTCTCAGGGTGCTAGCAAACATGTACATAGCACGCATGGTCCCACAACTGTGGCCATGCAAACTCCACAGCATCGTTCTTACGTTTACGACTGGTTGCTAACATCCGGAGACAGTGACATATGCCGAGCTTCTTACCAAAGTGGCTGACTCTCAAGCGCCCAGAGCGACAATCAATTGGGGATGTAGAACCCCATAATCCCAGACCAGCACAACCAGATTCGTCTCCTGCTGGTGACGATGAGGAAGATGAGGACGATGAGCCGGAGAGACAGCGCTGGGGCAAGAGAGAAGGAGAGCTCATCATTCACATGTACGAGGCATTGTGTTCCTGGCCCCTTTTTCTGCACCTGGTGTTGATCTTATCGCTGGTGTGGCTGACGGGGTTCCTGCAATACAACTACCCCTTGGTCGTCTTTACCGCCATATTTTATCTCCATAAGGTAGACAATGTTCAAAAAGAGCGGTTGCGAATCCAACTTCAAAACAGAATGGACGAGCGAAGGTCAAGACTGATCTTATCCACGGACGCTGAAACTGTTATATGGTTGAATGCTATTCTGCAGGAATGCTGGCCGTCTTGGTTGGAGAGATACCTGTCACACCTCATCACAAATTGCTTACATCTGAATCTTGCATACTACAAACCGAGGGCTCTAAGCAAGCTTGTGATTGACTATCTGCGGCTAGGAAGTTCTCCTCCCGTCATTCAGTTTGCCAAAGTGCACCGTAATCCCAATGCACCACGAGGAGAACAGGCCGTACTTGAGCTGGACATTTCTTTCGTTGCAGCTGACGACATGAAACTTGAATTAATCGCCCGACTGAAAAGAGCATCCATGGGTTTGGGCTTGGCTGGGAAGCTATATGGAAACAACCTCAGAGTAGAGGGAAAGCTTCGGCTTGGTCTTAAGTTTGTACCATTTTACCCCTACTTGGGCCAGTTAACAGTTGCTTTCGCAAGTGTACCTGTTCTCGGCCTCAGCGTGAGGCCTCTGTCATCGAGCAGTGTCGATGTCACCGACTTGCCGGGCATCGCTTCTTGGGTGGTAATAACCTTTCCCATGGTGACCATGTAGCTCATACCTGAACTTCCTTTTTTCCAAATCTGCAATTTCACTTGCTAGAAAGTACAATTCCATTTGACAGCTCTTGTTTCGATACAGTTAAAGCTGTCCAAAACTCAACACTCAAGCTGCAGTTGGCTACTAATAACGCATCAAAGTTTCCACTCATACCTCCACAGCAAGACATCAAAGATGAACCTGTCAACGAAAGTAGTCCTTCCTATATCACTTTTGCTGAAAGAAAGACAGAATTCTACGATTCACAGCATTTTCGCTCCAGCACTTGCTAGTTGGAAACTCAATGACAGAAAATGAACATTTGGTAGACGATACTAGACCGGGATACTTGACTGAACACACACTTAACAACACGTACGTAGACGTAGATCCATTGTAGCTCCATGACTCTTCTGGGCCAAGAGTTTAAATGCGTACTTATATTTAGCCTGATTGCATTTAGGGTCTCTAGCTTTATCGAATCACTTCTGCAGTCAGGAGTTTTGTAATGTGTATACTAGCGGAAGGACGATCGATTGCACAGAAGGCACATGCAAAGCAGTCTTGCACATCATAGATCTGTTATGCTTCAAGAACCTTGATGATGAGTCTCAATAATATCCTGAATTTGCAGAGTAAAGCAATCCAGGCTGCAGTGGAAACATTTCTAGTAGAACCACATCCTCTTGTTGTTGATTTAATCAAGCTATGCGGAGCAGACTACCGATTTGACATTGACAAAGATGGCACTTACGTCCGTGGTATTATCCAAACTTGAACAGCATTGTTTAGTTTAGTCCAAGCTCCTTCCAATCACGAGTGGGATTCGATTTTCAAGGTTAGAATGTGGGAGACTGTTTCAGGATGTACTCCATCTAACTTCGCAGAGCTGGTTTTATGTTGTGCTCGTACACAGGTAATCTGAAGGAGCCAAAGGATGTTGGTTTTGTAATTTTGGAAATTTTGGAGTGCAAAGACTTGGAAGCGAAAGATCGAACAGGTGGGGCTCTTGGCATCTGAATGGATAAATGTCATCCACATCGTACCCTTATCTCTAGTAGAAGAAACCGTTACATGTGACATGCCTGCATAAGTGGCTAAAGTTCATGCTATACAATTCCGACACAATAATGCAGTAACTTCCGAGAGTCCGGACTTTTAAATATATGTTGTTTTTTTATTTCCAGGATTCTCAGATCCTTATGTGAAGATTTCCATGGACAAAGTCAAATTTAAAACATCTGTCAAGAAGCAGACTGTGCACCCCATATGGCATGAGCTATTTCGACTCCGAATCAGTGGTTGGAACATACCAACTAGAGTTTTATTACGCGTTCGCGACCGCGATGCATTTGGAAAAGATGATGATTTGGTACTTTTAACTTCGATCTCCTGACACATTCTGACAAAATTCCGTACGGTAGTTTGTGAGAGTTCGTGTATCCCATGTTTATGAAGTCTTGAGCAGTTGGTCTCAAAACAGTTATCATATCGACGTATTTACGGGTTGACTTTTAGAAGTATCTTGTACACAATAACTGCTTGATGTCGTCTTGAGTCTGGCCTGTTCTAACTTTCAAGAAATATGTACATGCCGATTATGCAGGGCAGTTCCGTAATCGACATCGATAAACTTCGAGGGGGAAAACGACATGACATGTGGCTGAAGCTACGAGGTGCAAAGCATGGAGAGATTCATGTAGCAATTACTATTGTGGATCTTGTCGCGAGAACGTCTGGTGACTACGAAGAGGGCAGTAGTAGTACAGGAGACGCTTCGAGTACATTTGACCGAGACAACAGCATAGATGAGCAGGGACTTCGCGCTAGAATGAAACACGTCATATTTCCTCATTCCTCTGACGGGGAGCATGAACAGGGTCTTCGAAAGAAGATGAAACATGTGAGAGTAGCAAGTGTGGACTCTGATCGATTCGAAGGTTTATTTGACTCGAAGGCGAATCCTATGTTAGATCCACATTTGGAGGATGGATCTCTGGATAGTGTATCCTCTGGTGTCCTCCCCATTGTGGAAGACAAAGCGTCAACAAGGTGGGACAAGGATCTACCACGGAAGTCACCAAAGAGAAGAACGTTTACATTTTTGAGACAACGATCAGCCCCAGTTGCCACCGAGAGAGAAGATAGACCATTCACGAAATGTCTAGGTGGCAAGCAGAGCAATCTCTCTAAAGGACGTATGACGCTGAAGGCCCTATACAAAAGAATGGCATCCGAGTTTAAACACTCTCAGGAAACGCCTACAGCACTTTACGAAGTGCCAATTGGAAGCAGCTCCATCCTGTATACCGAAGGGGATACACTATCACGCAAAAACTAAGCTGACGCACACTATGACATCTCCTTGGAAAAGACCTAGTTGCTCAGGTTCAAAGCAGGGGGGAGGGTAAGTGGATAGCCAAAAATATGGGAAGACCTAGCTGCTTAGTTTTCAAGATAACTTCACCGTTTCCAGTTATCCACCACGATTCTAGCAAGGTCTTCTTCTTGTGAGAAGCGAAGGCATTACAAGATGAGAGGCTACACGTCTTCTAACGTTGCCTCTTAGAAGATCATCGAGCTATCAGCTCAGGAAAAATCTACCCAGTCTAAGAAGGTATTAAGTATCTAATCTTTCCAGAATCCCTTCAGCCTCCGTTACGTTGTTGCACTGTATTTTGTATTGGATCCTGATATTCTGCAAGAAGAATACCCACTTAGTAGATCTCTTCAAAATAGATTTATATTCCTAACAATACCTGTAAGAACTGTGTCGACGGTATAAATCATGAAACAGATTACGACGCAAATATCAAGTTTGTTTCCCATACTTAATACAAGCTACGATATATGTGAACATAGTCTTCAATTCCTTACCGTCTTTGTCGGGTGTCCTTTTGATTTGAATAATATGTATGGAATAATTTTCAGACGTCCATGTATCCATCACTTGGAGTCGGACAACGGCTTGATACTGACTTTGTGACAACTGAGTTCAGGACTCACTAATGTTTTTGTTTTCAGCAGAACCAGGCGCCGTATACGACAACAGCGCACCGGCAGGTCAGCATGTCCCGGCGCACTCGTAAAAGTTGTAACTGCAACCGCGAACTAAAGACAGATCAGAACTCTAATCTAACTGATCGTGAGCTCCACGATGACAACTGCAATAATTTTCCGCCAGCTCTACGGGTACAAGCTCGACACTGTTCTTCTTGACCCTCAAAAAGACTCTGTCCCACATTATCTCCGGGCAGCTAGCATAGTCTCACACTTTTACTGCGATCTGTGAGATCTGTCGCTTGTCTGCTAAAACCTAGCTTCGGGTATGGGTCTCAATCTAACAGTATTCATCTCTTAGGTTGATAGGGTACAGAAATGTCCCCCACTTTCGGTTAATGCTGAAGAGAAGATAACTCTCAAAAAATATGGGTAGCTTCTAGTTTCCTGTAAACCACAGACGCCTTTTCAACCGACCATGGCAGGCCTTTGGCCAAATATTGTTCTCCGGATAATAGCTTGATGACACATTTAACATCCCTGGCAAGTTGCCTTAGCACAGTGAGTTTCCTAACTTGTAAGGTGGCAACTTTAGCAGGACAAGAGTGCGTCAAGCGTCAGACGAACCATTTTTTGCATACTGAGAGTGTGACCTGTGTTGCTCCGGTGTCCAAGACTGAATTAAGTTATCCGCAAGGTACGGACAATCCTCACGGTTCCTCGTCTTTCTACTTATGTCAATATCTGCTTAAGAGAGGCACGTGTAAATGTCGATGGAGTTCCGAAGAAATGTCCACACCTGCGTCGGATGGGCAGAGGCTGTGTGCAATTCTTTCTTCTTCCTCTCTGTAATCAAACGTACCATAATTCTCTTCGGGGTTACAACATACTCCGACGTGCATAAAACGCCATCATTCCGGTAACCGGCGAACTCCCGTTAGCTTCGGAAACTGCCCTCACATGATTTCCAAGGTTCATGTTCGCGTGGTTTCCGTGATGATGAGCACAACCAAACTGGCCCATGTGACCACGTCATGACAGTAATCAGAATAGATCCAATCCAGTAAGCAGGCACATCAATTTAGAACCAATACAGAGAACAGCCTGTAATTCAGATTTCAGGCTAATCAATCTGTTTAATATTTAACAGTAAGTACAACATTCACTCACCCAACACGGAGCAACCTTTGAAAATTGATTGTAGAACTATCTAGAATTGCCAACTTAATGTTGTAACGTATTTTGTTGAAAAATTCATACCTGACAAAATTTTACCATTTCATGGAACACTGGATATACAGAATGTAGGTTTCCACCTCCAGACAAAATTTACAGGGACAGCAGAGAAGTCGATATACTAATCGGCGATAAAGACGAGCAGGTATCCTCCTTTAATGGATCCTTGCTAGAAAGATCAAGCTCCTGAAAGCTCATCCGTAACCCAACTCCGTATCCGCCAAGGCACAGTCCATGACCACAGGAACAGAGGTAAGGCGATGCGCCCTTCAACGCGTTCATGGTACAGGACTTTGAGAAGTATCCACCACTGCTACTGCTGCGTTTGATTAATTGACGCTACTTGAACTCGGACCATACCATACCAAACCAATAAAGCAAAGTTAAACTTTGGTGCCAATTCTGACCTTGTACTATACATACTCATCGTGCAACCTTCCAACGAAGTCAGTTAAAAGGTGATGACTCTTCAAGATGCTGAACTGTGGGGTCAGAGATTAATCAATCTCCAAATCGACAAAATTGTGACTTCAATCCAAGCTTCAACTCCGACGTTGATTAAAGCATAAGCTGAGCGAAGTACTGATCAAAGTCGTCATCAATCGTTGGTGGTCTTTTTCCCAGTTGCGCTTCTGCTCATAAAGACATGCATTTCGGTTGCAGTTTAGCGAAGACTTCGATGCGATCGTAATTAAGTGGGTTAAAATCCAACAAGTGCATCAATCCAACGCCTACTAGAGCTTTGGAGCCACAAGACTCTAGACCTTCCTTCCACAATAACGTTGATGCAGTCAATTCAGATCTGTCCTATGATTATTTCTGAAGGACTCTATGATTCGTCTCTCAAGACAGTCTACGGCCAAAACTAACGGCTGCGTGAGTTGCTTGAAAGTCAGAACCTAGCCTGCTTAAGCTGGAGGCATGAAAAGATATCCAGCAAACTTGATTCTAGAATCGTGTACAAGAAACAAACTCATCCAAGCATAGAAGTACCTGACTTACCCTGTGTTTTGCTCAATCGCCCTGACGAGAGAACAAATGTGGGTTCTGGTTTGTTCGACTCGGATCCTCCTGTACCACTGGAATCATCACGGCCGACTGACATGTTACTTGGGGGTGTTACTTGTTCCCGCTCTGAGCTATTCGAAGCTGGATGAGTATCGTGGGACATGCTGCTGGTGTACTGTGATCTGCTCCGAAACTGTCTTGTTGGTAAATCTAGTTCCCGCTCTGAACTATTCGTAGCGGGATGCGTATCTTCAGACATGCTTCTAATAAATTGTGACCTTCTCAAAAACGTATGTGTGAGTGCTAATACTCCCCGCTCTGAGCTATTAGAAGCTGGATGAGTACCGTCAGACATGCCGCTGGTGTACTGTGATCTGCTCATAGTATGCCTCTCTTCCTGCACGAAAGGAAAAAGAGTCGTCTTCTCGAAAGGCATGCCAACATGGGCTTTCTCATCTACTTTGGCGTTCGAAGTCGTGTTAGTGAGGGCACTGGCCTTGAAACGATAAGTTTGTGAACTCCTTTCCCCTTCCAGCCATAAAGAGACTGAACCACTTGATGCGCAGAGATCTGTGACAACTGAACTACTTTGATGCTCTCTACTAATGTTACTAAGGCCATATTTGGCGCAGCCTTGTTTAAGCTTTAAGCTTCTGACATCTGGATCTCTGTCTCTCGTATCTCTGCTGCTATCGTTGTCAGCTTCATCGCTACATCCCGAATCCATGGTACTCGCTACAAGTCTTTGGTCTGTACTTTTCTCATACTCTGTTTTCCACAAACCAACACCAAACACTCTGTTCAGCTCACTGTCACGGGCTGTATATGAGCTCGAAGTCTTCACATGAGATCCACTGATAACCTCGCCGTCTACCTCTCTAGTTTGTTTCCACCTTAACGATTGATGGCCAGATGATTGTAGGTATTTCGGGCCTGTGACATCTTTTCTAACAACGCCTGTAAACGAATCATCCTCGCTTGGCACAGCATACCTTCCAAATCGGTTGTTGGCCTGACCAACAAACTTGGACACTTGAAAACTAATTAGTCTTCTATCCCCGTCCTCATTTGAAGTCAAAGTACTCGTATTCCCGCCGCTCCTTTTGTCATCTCCAGCATCATCAGAACTGGCTATACTAGTTTCAACGGCCCCTGACGCGAGACGCAGCACCTTCTCGCGTTTGATTTGTCTTTCGTATAATGAAAAGGCAGCCCGAGTAGGCGGTAGAAGACTAGAGGATAGGTGTTTGGAGGCAACCTTCTTTCTCTCCCCTCCTCCCATATCTACATTGCAACTTCCTCCCTTTTGAGTTTTCGTTGTCTCCCTTCTTCTACTCGAACGATGAGTACTCTGACGAATTCGCTTGCTGTCAAACATCGTAGAATCGAATCTAGATGCCTCGATTTGGTACCTGCATACAAGGTGCATCACTTTTAATACCCAGATTGAAAATTGAACATTGTGCTTTCAACAACGGCAAACATCATGGTGCATCTCAAAATTTCTGGTGTGAAACCTCACTGCAGGTAATGTACAGGATATCATGCAGAGACATGCTAACACAAAACTAACTTGAATATAAGACCGAGAAGATCGGCATGCTAGATGTGAGTCCTAAAGTTTCGCTAATGACGTGTTCGCTCTAGGTTGTCGAGTGAAAAGATAATCTCAGTAAGAACTCCTAAACTTTTTGAGGTATTCAATGGTCGGATTGAGAAGTGAGGACAGGGCTCATTATGTAATTTAAGATATTGGGCAGGGGTTCAAAGACTCATCAAAGATTCATAAAGTTAGCGAGTCTCTTCAAACAGGGCTATTGTGATCTTGATACTTCAAGCTGTATCAGAGACCATATTTATTCCTCAGAGCAGATAAGATGTTATATGAAATTAAATGCAAACCTATATATCCTCAGTGACAAACATGAGGTTGTTTGAGCCGATTCTGCTTGAAATGTATCAAGCTAACGTCACTGAAGAACGTCAATTCCAGGTCCAATATGGTGTGCAGGATAGGGCCGGAAAGCAGTCATGAACACTTGTAAGCACAACTCACTCTTTGCGTTTGCGTGCTGCCCCTGAGTGTGACGGTATGGAATTCCCAATGTCAGTCTTCGCGCGATCTTCGGCCTTCGACTTGGTTTCGGTGATGACACCAGGCAATGGTGTCCCTACTTTCGGCTCTAGCTGTTCCATATCTTTTCCTTTGCGTGGTCCTGAGTGAGGAACATCCAGGCCGTGTCTCGCAGAATATGCAAGATTGGGACAATTTCGCTCCATTCTCGCAAACTCCAATTAAACGAGACGCGACAAGCACGGACTTGCGGTCTGTGACTTCCATCTGTTCATCATAGACGTCCCACTAGTTTCTCGTGTATTTACGATTTGAGTCTCATGTGTTGCAGTCTCTGCACCCTAGGTAGACATCACAAGCCGCAACTGCAACTCCAGTTTGGAGGCTATGGTTCAGGTCCCTGATGCATAACACTCCCCTTGATCCGTGCTTGCCTCTCGTACTCTTGACCAGCTAGTCATTCACACCCGACCAACGAATCCACCTCACTAATTTTGCAATGCCGTGGGTTGAGCTCCGACATCTGCACCTAAACTCCCTTCCTGACGCATTAACCGATTTGATCCATCGTCTTCCATCCGAATTCGCTGTGTCACCCCACAATATTCGCCGGCAATACAATTCGTGCAAGGACTCCACTGATCTTCTTCGTCATGCATGAACCATCAGCGCATACCCCTGATTCAGACCAACCACTCAGCAATCTCTCGACACTCCACTCGCTAGTCCGCCACGACGACGAGCCCAGCTTCAGCTGATCGCTGGATATGGCCGGATTCGCGAGGCGACTTCTCTGTGGAAACGACGAAATCAACACGAGAGCAGGCCCAGCGGAAGCGGTCTCCGTTCACAGTGCACTTCCCTTCCACTCGCTCTCCCCAGATCAATCAATCTCAATCAATCTCAATCAATCTCGGTAACAATTGCCTTCGCCGGACACCCGTCAGCTCTTAAGCTCTGAGCTGGTGCTACGTTGCCGCTGCAGCTCCCGAAAACCTCGAAGACAGCGCAGCAATATCGGCAGCACAGTGACCACCCTGTCCTCCCGAGATCATCCACTCGCGCAGCGGGGCGGGTGTCTCCTGCGTGCTCGAGCTCTTCTTCCGGGCCCTGCACACTTGCTCTGCGCCCACCTCCACCTCCTCCCCCTCTCCTGCGCCCCGACTGGACCGTCAAATTGAAACCATTTTGTCCTTGCTCCCCCCCACCCTTCAGAATTACGAGGAAACTCGCACTGCTCCAACTGTGGGCACCCATCCCCGGCCATCGTACCCCCGCACCCTCCCCCCAGGACCATGACCTTCCCGCCCGGTGGGCCCCTCGGCCTTGCTCGGAACATGGGCATCCTGTTCCCTATGGGAACTGTTCTCCACAGCGGTCCACGAGTACCTTCCTCCCTGGCCCCTGAGAACCCTCTGTCCCTCTCTCCCTCTCTTGGGACAGTGGACCAAAGCCTCATCCCCGTACCAGGCCACTGACGGACCCACGAAAGGACCCTCCGGGATCGGACGGAAGAACAGACGACAATCCCGTTGCCGAGTCGTGCCCGAACGAGTATTCAACTTGCGTCAAATTAAGCTAACCCCTGGTTTAGCACAGTAATATGGTGCCCAGCCCATCACTTAGTACAGTAATACACTTGATGCCCACACTCTAAATACGGTTTCTGCAAGCTGGTGGGTCGTACTCGTATGTATATCGTGTATATACATAATTGTCTTCGTGCGCAATACCAAACCGTATCGATGTCGATCATCCCGCTGCATTCATCGATGGGACTGAGTGCTGCATTGTAAACTGGGATTTTACCCACGTGACTACAGAATCATTTACTCATCTGCTGACTGTACCCGGACCCTTTGGACCCGCAAGAACCAGCGGTCATAGAGGTCAACCCACAGGTGCAGTCCATTCTCTTGAGAGCCTGGTGTACCTCGTTCATCATTGTTGTGTCACCAGAACTTTAGTTGCTCGAGCCTTTTCCTTACCCACATTTACTCATGATGCCTTTAGTTTTGGTGCTTGTCACGAGGGTTTTGGTGGCAGCTTCAACCAATGTGTTCCATGTGTTCGGGCAGGGTGATTTCTCCGTGACCCGAGTGAGGTCAAAACAGGCTACCTTAAGCTTTCAAAGTTCTCCTCACCTTATGTTAACCAGCGATCTAACGAACCAAAATATGAGTACAATCTTCATATTGTCTATAAAAGCATATCTGCACATGACTTGTTCTAGAATCTTACACCGATCTTATACCCGTTGTTGTTAAGTTTAAATTCTTTTTAACATACCAATGTATAACAAATAATCAACCATTTACACATCATGCACTTTCACCTTGAACCGCCAAAGCAAGACCAATTTTTAAAAGGATTAACAACGATATTTTTAGTTTTTTAGGTTTTTGAAGCTATTTGAAATGCATAAAATAACTTCATATGTCCAGGGTAATTTGCTATAGATGCTTGGAATACTTTCTGAAATTTGAAGAAAACACATTTTTTATAACTATTTGTTGGCGGTCGTCTGCTTTGTGGTTACTTGATTTCTTTGCCAAAAAGACGCTGCGTTATGATTTGAGCATAGGGACGTTGCAATTCACAGTCACGTTGTTTGTTTGAAATTTTAGAATTTGTGATTTTTTTCTAAAAATAAATTTAATATTAACTTTATTTCCCCATCGTAATGGACATGAATATTTTAGAATAATAGATAATTTTTTCTTAAAAATTATACAAATTAAAACATCAATTCATTTTTTAGCATGATATGTTTCATATATATCTGTGTACGCCTGTATGTACATATGCGATAATATGATAAAATGACATCAATTATTAAAGTCACACATGGAAGAGTTAAATGATAGTTATGAATTTGTCAAAGCCAATATGCCAAAGAGTCCAATTTGGATAGTACAACAGACAAAATTTGACAATGTAATTTTTACTACATTTTTATAGAATTACATTCATAGAATATATAATTTCTGTGATGATCAAAAAACGCAATAAATTCAACAAATGCCCAAGAAAAAGCCAATCAAATACAAGTAAAATAAATAGAAAAGATTTTTCAAAATTCGAAAAAGTATCATCTGTGTAAATTCATTCAAAACACGGTGTTAAGAACAAATATGCATCTATTTTTTACCAAAAGTTATAAGAATATGAAATTATGTATGTCTATAACACTTTAAAGAAGATACAATTATTAATTTCTTGGTTGAATACAGCTACCTAACTCAAGGCAACTATATTGTTCAGAATACAAAATTATTCAAATACAACGGAATAAAGGAATTAAAATTAGTCTTTGCACTTAAAATTCCATAGCAGAAACTAACACTGAGATCATTTTTTATATATTGTAGTGGAAATATAGATAAATCGTTCATGCTTACTCCAAAATATAGACCTATCACCCGAATTGATATTAAATAATATCACTGCGCATTATCAGACTGAATAGTTTAGAGTTTTAAGGACTATTTGTGAATGAAAGATTTGATTGTGATTTTTAAATGTAAGAAATAAATTATATATAAATTTTAATATCATTAAAGTAGTAAATGATAGGTTTTTGATGTTTTGACTAATAACAGAATTTATGGACTTTAATTTGATATAATAGTTGCAAAAAAGTTATTTAGTAAGAAGAAAGATACTAGTTTATAAAACAAATATTTTGTTGAGAAGGTCAAGGCTAATGTTGCACGAAACCAGTTATTTCCCTTGAACATTACTTGTTTGAGAAGAAAAGTGAATGTTAAAACTTTAGAAAATAAAATTGAATCGGATCTTTGATAAGTACCATGCTTAAAAAATAAAATATGTAAATTGAAAATCCCAGAACAAAGAGAATGGGTGAGAGCGATCTCTCTAGTCTATTGCCGAAGAACTCATACAGCATATTATTCAAGCCCGTCGCAGCAAGTAAATCCGGTACAGTCAAGACGAAGAACAAAGTATTCGGACTCATCCGATCATAAAGCGGGTCATCTTAATCCACATTTCAGAATTTCAGCAAGAAGCTCTCGTAGAAATGGGTAGCTGAAAACTTATCCAATCGATAAAAGCGAGCAAGCAACGAAATCTCAAGCGTAAACGAACCACAAAATACAGACGCAACAGTCTTCCCACATCACCCCAGCGCTTACCACTCATTTGGCAAAGCTGAATGGCTAAAATCACTAAAGCAACACCATGGTTCAGATCATGTAACTTATTCGGAAATTAATAGTCTTGTTTTCCGGAATATATATATATATATATATATATATACACAAATAGAGGTCGATCACTTCACTTCGATTTATTCCAACGGGGGACAACATCCGGTCAACACTGAAGAGTTCGGTACGAGAACCGAGACCCGGTCTTCGAGGAGACGAGACCCGGTCTACGATCATACCAATACTTCACGAGACCGGAACGGGCGGCTTCGCACCGCCGCCGTCAGCTGCTCAACTTAGGGCAAGGACCTATGGAGCCGTACGGTACTCGACTGGGAACCGAGAGTTGAATGTTCCATCCACGTGCAGCCGTCGATGGACAGCATCTCAGCGACTCGGATGATGTTTCAGTCACCGAGACCGCGCAACAACAACTGTCCGTCCGTCCGTCCTCCGGGTACCGGAGTTGTACTCTGGCAGTTGCAGTTACAGTTAGCTCGTATTGATACGCGCAGCCCCCTGCATGCAACGAATCGCCGCCGTCCGGCCGATCGGACGGTCGTCGCGCGGCAATTGAAGGTACCCGGTGGGGACACTCTGCCACAATCCCAGTTCCGTTCTCCCCCAGAAGTGAAACGTAGATGCGACGGTAAATCGAAAGCACCAGCAGCCGCATGGAACCAGGAGTCCCCAATTGTACGTCCGCTGACTCCGCCCCTATCCATCTTCCTCATTTAGACGTCCCGCAACGGGACATTTGGTGAACGTCATTCCAACTCGGTGGGGGGCGGTATGTTTATCCACACGAGATCTATCCCATGCCTGCGGTGGGTTCATGAACCCGTAACCCTCCTTGAGCGCAGCCAATATTCCCGCCCCGGCCGGTCGCCGGTACGCTTCTCTCGGTCGTCGCCGGTGAGAGGAGATGGAGCTCCCGAGGAGAAATTGGGGCGTTCCCAGTCCCGTGCTGGGACATTGCGGAACGGGACGCCGGGTCCACAAGGGGGCGAGGTCGTGAGGGTCCGGAGTCTCCTTCGGCGGCGGCGGCGCGGAAGTTCGCTCGGAGTCGTGGCCGAGCGGGACCACAAGTTGACGCCAAATCGCGCGCAGCAGAGAGACGGTCCATTTACAGGAGGGGCATCGAGTCGTTGGCCATGACGTCGTCAAATCTGGGGGCCGTGCGCAGGCATGGCCAAGGCGGAGGTGGCATGGGTCGCCCACCTACAGTACAGCCCTGTCGCTAATATTTCGAGGTCGTCCAGTTCGCGACAGCAGTGTGCCCACTGCCCCCCCCCCTCGTACCTAATCGCTGGGCCTTATCCTTTCCACCTCCCAATCTTTCGATTCACGCTTGCGATGCCTTGCCCGCTGCCCTGCCCATATCGGTCTGATCTGTATTTGAGGACTGCCATCCCCCTCCTGCCTTGCCGGTAACACCATGATAGCAAGTCGGTAGCAGTTGGTCGTTCGCGTTACAGGAACCATCTTCGTTCGAGAGAATGCCGGCTTCTCGGAGCGACAAGAACATCAGACCTTTATGGTCTGAATTATGGAGCATATTTTGGGATTTGTTTGCCACTCAATTTTTCCCGGAGGGTCCTCCGAAAAGGGTTTTGTACTTTTTCATTTGGGTACGTAAAAGTGCTCTTTCCTTTTCTCTCGGTCGACTCATGACACCAGGCCAGTTATAAAAAGAATAAGCTTATTATAAAAGATCGGGTGTAATTGTTTTAGAGATGCAAGTGAGATAACATAGTACACTGGTAAAACTTTTTATTCCTGCCCACTTTACTTCCGACTTGACAAGGTAGGCGCCAGTAAATAGCAACAAAGAAAGTAAGTATCCAGCAAGCTGTACAAGAAAGAAACTAAACGATAATATGGGACTATCCAACATTAGCGATAACATGGTAAATATAAACATTTAAGATATCTTACCTATCAACCTACTGGATCTAAAATAAACTAAGATCTAAATTAAAAATTGTGATATCACTTCTCTGTAGTATTGGAAGACATTTAAGTACAGTGCATCAAGAAATAATATATGAAGGGTCAAACCATAGCTCTAAAAAATTTTTAAGCTAGAAAAAACAAACGTATGAACTCTCTATATACACTTTTGCTCGATAAATTTATTGCTGTTGCTCTATTTTCCATGCTCACATGCATATGCTGCATTATAACATTCAATGAGCTCATAAATATATTCAAAGTATTATTACCTTAGCTCGATGTGATGACTCTTTTCTCCTTACACTTTGTTCATTTACATTGGTATGTTTAAATCTTCGTTAAGTTCAACATACATTATATACTCAAAATTGAGCAAGACAACCACCAAAAACTATATATTGTTCAATATTCTTTGATGATTTTTTCCTCTTTTGAATCACCGCATCAAGATACAAATTAGTTCAATTGATACATATTTTGGAACTGATCTTTGCCTTTTTTTTTTACTTTCAAATGATATGTTTTGTTTCAAAACTTTTATTGAAATCAACATTTGTAGGTTTGATTGATCAAAGTTGATCAGGTTCAAATTTCAAAAATAATGAAAATCAAAAGTGTGTCCAAAATCATTTCTAACATAAGTTGATTCCAGATAAAGAGAAACCTCGGGTACTAGCTAAATATAACTATGACGGTCATATGGACTTAGAGTTAAATACCCGGCTTCTGCCTTGTACAATAGTGTGTTGGCTTGGTTTCTCATTGTGTTTTGTCACTTATGATTCTCGGATTAAACTTCTTTAACATAGAGCTAGAGTAACCTTTGAAGTTCATTATGAACAATTAATTTTAAAATTCCTGACTTGTAATTTTTTTAAAATTATCAAAGTTTATCACTCTAAATCTTTAAATTCAATATTTTCACATTGATTTTTTACTTTACACAAAACCTTAAATGCAATGATATTTTTTACTTTCATAGATTAATCATTTTAAAATCATAGATTATTCATATTTTTTACTTTCATAGAATAATTCATAGAGAAATCTTATCTCCTACGTCACAATTTTAATATAAAAGAATAAGAGAAAATTTTCCAATGTCCAAATTACTTAGTAAACATCATTTCATACAAAAAAATTATCAACTCATATACTTGTTTATGCATATGAACAAACTTCAACACCACTTTTGAATTGAAGAAGATTCAAGTGAAATTAGCAAATATAGATTAACTTTCAGAATTGAAAATAGATAAGTGGTAAATTGTTTTATACATTTTATAATTTAAAAATAATATTCTATAAATATAAATCATTCTGTAATTTCATATAATAATTTTTTATGTATATAATATACAAATAATTAACCTCGAAAATAGCTAAATTGAATATATAAGAAGTCCATCGACCTCTAGGTTTTTGTCAACATTTTTATGATATAGAAGTTTGTTTTTTTCGATCGCTTCCGCTTTCAGAAGAGAAAAAATAAACAGCTTTAGATAATTAAATCAAATAATCAATACCATACGTATTTATCTAGCAATCTGTCATTTTAAAATTAATTATTAAATTTTAATGAGATAATTATAACTACAACTATTTAATATTTTGAAAAAACTTGAAAAAATTCATTTGATAATTCTAACTAATTTAAATCGAAAGTTGAGATGTATCAATCAATGAGTTTTATTTTTTTGCAGTTAAGAAATAAGATGGATATGAAAAAATTATACACAAAAGTCCAATTTTATTAATCTAGAAAAATATTATTTAAAATAAAATCTGTGATATTATACAGATACAAAATAAAATGAATAAAGCTGATAATCTCATTGAATGATGATCAGCTATCCATCATTATTTTTCAAATTTCAAATGAAGATCAAAACTATATATTTTTTTCATTTGCATCAATAAGTCATTGTTTGTATTTTGATAGATTTTTATTCAATTCGAATGTTATTTAGTGAAAATTTATACTTTCAAAGCTTGAGTGCAATGAGTTATGCATTACACTAGTTTGAAAATTTTAAATATCTAATCAGTGTTTTCTTCATATAAAAAGTCTGATTAGAATCCTTGTTAAACTAGACTCTATAGAGGAAATTTGTATTCAGCAAAAATATTATTTTTAAATAAATTTTTAATAATGATTTTGTGTTTGGATCTTTCTTGTCAAAATTGTAATTGAACACATTTACACATGAGAATAAGATGAGTTTTTTTTATTATTTTAACTTCTTGTATTCCATAATCAATTATTTGTATGAAAATAGATTACATATATAATATACAACCCGTTAACCCTCATATTTATCCAACATGCTATAGACTTTTATAAGCTAGTGACTCAATTTGATCTTCATGAATATTTAAAAGAGTCAATTAATTTTTTTTCTCAGAAATAAATGTATTGCTGTTTCAACAGTAAAAAAAGCATTGTTTTTTTCAAAAAGGTATATCTTATGTTTTTCTATTTATTTGTGATTCTTTGATTTTTCAGAATGTAAACGTATCATGACAAATTTTATTATTTAATGATATTTTTTGATGATATAATAAATAAACAAATATAATGATAAAAAAAATTTAACTCAGTAATTCAAAGTTAATACTAAGCAGATAAAATAGGAAAAAAATGCAAAATCAATAAATATTCATGATCTTAAAAATCATCTTGTAAATTTTGCTGGAATAAAGATTTATTTTGTTTTTTATTGAAAGTAACAAAGATTAAAATCGAATTGAAAAACATTGTAAATAAAAAATAACAAAGTGTATGAATCTTATAATAGGTTTGTTTAATATGAGTCAAATTGTTAATCATCATCTTCATTCATCTTACAACAAATTTATTCATTATGAATAAAAACACTAGTATTTGATTATATTATAAAAATATATAAATGATATTAGAATTATCAAATTTAATCAATACATATCATAAATATTTTTAAGTTTATTTCACTTATGTTGTATATCTTTAATATATTCATTTTTGGATTAAAATATTTGATTAATTTTTTAAATTTAAGGAATAAATTACAAAACATATTTCGATGCTGAAATTTTGCTCTTATCAAGATTTTGCATATTTTTTTATGTTTTGTTTTAAATACGATTGAAGTTAAATCTATTTGCATATTTTAATATCTAAATCAATGAACATGATTATTTTTAAAATACACATAATTAAAAAAAACTAGTCTCAAAATACTTCAATTCTGCAAAATCAAAATTTTTGTGCAAGATGATATTTTTCAAATTCACATCTTTTACGTTTAAAGATTATTTGTAATTTCATTAGATTTGACCGTACACTATCAATATAAAAACTCTTTGATCTTTTTTTTTACACAACTTAAAATCATAATAGTTTTATACATCTGATACATTTAAACCGTCAAGATTTTTTACATGTTGAAGATGTTGAATTATAGTATAGTTTATCATTTGAAATAGTATTAATTCATTTAACATATGATATATTAAAGAATACATATCACATGCATGATATTGATTTTGATATCAATATATTATTTAATATATCAATATCAAATATTAATATATTATTATCACAAAATTTTCTTATTGACATTTCAAAATCATGCCATATTAATAAATAACAACATTTTCTGTGAATTTTTTCATCTTCATAACTCACGTGTTTCATAACTGATATATTGTTTATAATTGTACTTTCAAAATTTTCATAGACCAATTTTGCTAATATTCATAAACTTGAAAGATAGCATGAGAATAGATTTTCTTTGTGCTTTGTATCATAAAGATTTTTGCACTGATTATTTACATGAAAGTCAGAACTCTGAAAATTAGCTACAAATAATTATTGCGACGATTGTTGAATTAAAGTAGAATTGAAAAAAAAATTGGATTACATTTCAACTTCCACTCCTACATACAAAACATAGATTAAAGTATCAAAACCGATGTATAATACTACCGTGATGTTAAATCATGCATATACACATCACATCATACATGTTCTACTGTCACAATAAACATTATAATACACATACTAACAAACATAAATGCATCACAAATGTTTTTAATACTGAAGTTAAATTAGAAAATTCTTGGGCAGAAAAGTGTGCATTGATTGATAATGTGTCAATGTTGGGACGTGATTTGTAAGGCAATGTGTTCGAATCAAGGGAAATGGAACATGGATGTGGATTAGGCTGGGCCAAGTTGCAACGTGGTAAAGTTCAGGCGCAAAGACATTCTCACCAAACATTCGGCTCTCGGTGGCAGAGGGAGTAAAAGCCAGCTTTAGCACTAGAGCCAAAGGCAAATCCGAGAGGATCCCTAGGGCGACGGAATCCGGCGAAAGGTTGCCCAGCCAAATGGATCGGAAATAGAGATTTGGCACCAGAAATCCAGAGGCCGATCCGATCGCCAAGCAATCACCACGATGCGGCCATCACTTGACTTCCGCTTCGCGCTTCATAACTGCGGCGATCTGGACGGGGAGTATCAGTCTCGCTGGCACCATTTGTTTCTTATTATAAGATGCATTCGGAGGCGATTGGCGCTGCGGAACACTCACGCGCTTGCTGTGATGAATGCGGCTGCGCTCCTTGATTACACTGCCCCTGCGATGCTATTCTTCTACTGGGCCTGGTGAGCGGTCCCTCTATGGCGAGGGCCCCTTTTCGTTCTCCGGCAATCTTTCCTTCGGCCAGTCAACGTCGCCTGCCCTTCTTTCATCTTTCCTTCCCGCGTAAAGTGCCCCATGCAGTAGAAAAATTCGGCTCCCACTTTCACCCGAATCGTCTTCTCTGCTCACGACCCTCGATTCTGTTTTTTCCTGTCAGCAAGCGAAGAGGTCGAGCGGCCTTTTCTACAGCAGTGCATGCTGGTGCTTGACAACAATTGTACTGACTAAGGATGAAGTCATCAGCCATCCGAGACTCTTCCAAGACGACACGCAGAAGCGAGCTATTCCCTTTGTTGTGCTTGTGTGCACCACGTCATATACCATAGCTGGGTAAAATATAGTTACTGAACGAAGAAGAAAAAGAGGATGAAGAAGAACTGGTCGATCGAGTCGATCTTCACAATTCCATGGGCGTGGTTGATACACACCTCTGGAGAGACGGATGCTGCGGTTGCACTTGGAACTTTAAAAAAGGCGTGACGAGGAGGGGGAGAAAGTGATATCGAGATGCGAGTCACCATCATCTGAGGAACCGCGGTGCCGAATTGCAAGTTGCATCGCACCAGGTCTTTATGACTCCGATATCTGTACAGAGGAGAGGCATGATTGCTCCCTGATCCCACTGGAGGAACTTTACGCACTGCAAGCATTTTGTTCGGGGCTCTCCGTTGGCTTGCCACAGTGTGCCCCTCCTGCACGCTATGTCTGTAATTTCATCTCATTTGCCGACCGATACACTGCTGAGCACTTTTAATTCCTTGCGCTTCATTGCTTTTCTCGATCCAGTCCTCGCCTGACGGGGAAGTCAGAATTTTCACTCCCTCATTTCTCACCACCTCATCTCGAACGGAGATCGTGTTCGTTGTAGAGGAAGAAGTGGAGAAGAGTGTCAAAATGCCACGTCCTCATCACGAGACTTATCTTAAATTATTATAGCACTCCAGTAATCCAGTTGACAGTGTACAGCTCCAGACAGAGGGAATGATTGCTTGCAAGAAAATGATTCTGAATGATTGCCGCCGGTTGATCTCAAACTGGACAAAGAGCAAGTCCGGAGTCCAGATCTGCCAAACGTACTCTTTCACAGCGGTGGGAAATATCTCGTACCCGGGGTGGTAGGTTTTAGCACCCGATGAGTGGAGCTTCGATCCTCAAGGTCGAGCTCGTAAGAGATAAAGCACCTTTGCATATGATTCAGCCGAATCATGGATACAAGTGATCAGACGATTCTTCTATCTAGCGAGAGGGCTTCTTCGGCGTACGAGCATCATGAGCCCAATCGGAATCTTAAAGGAATGATTGAAACATTCGCCATCTAGGACCGCAATAGAGTCATAAGAACAAAGGTGTCCCCGCTTTTCCCAGTTTCTGGAATGGAGGCCGCGCGAGGAGAAACTTAGAATAATAACTGTCACCCCCTCGGTCGCTCTGGCACACGAAGAACAACGCAGTAAACCAGTGACCTGCAGCGTAGGCACTAGGAAGGAGGGAGGGATCCGAGGGAACGAACGAACAGAATTGAATCGGGTTCACGCCAGATTCCAGGCGTGACACTGCACTGAGTTCACACCTTATCTGTTGTGGATAACAGTAAAACCTTCTGAAATGCGTTGTGGTTCTCTATTTGCATAAAGAGCAGAGCACAGCACACCCGACCGGAGCATGCGAACGAGTGCAAATCTTATCGCTCCAATATTCCCCAATAAGATCTGCTTTTCGCGCAGTACGGGGAGAAAGCTCGTCGGGCAGGCAGGGGCAGGGGTCGAGGCCGAGGCAACATCACATTTGATTTGACTTGACTTGTGTCCCCAACCCGGAAGGCCGACCTTTCTCTCTCCCCATCCCCCCTCCCCCTCCCTCGTCACCAAACGACCGACAATTCTGGCGAGAATTTCTGGATCGCTCGCTCCTCGCCGGCGCCACGCACCAGCGCTAGTTCCGACAAACATTTCCATGCCCGACCGGGTTGGACTTTACAGCCAGCCAGGCAACCAGGCAGCCGGCCAGCTACGGTTCGGTATCTTCTGCTGTGCACACGCTCGAGGGCCGCGCTGCAGCAGATTGCGGGTCTTCGGGCCTTCGGAATGCCGAGATGCGCCCGTCGGGCCGGGACGGGACGGGACGTCGATTGCGGCTCGGGATTGCCGGTGGTCGCTCGTCTTTTCTCTTGCGCTCATGTTCATCATGAGCGGCTTGTCTCTCGTGACGGACGGACGGGCATTTCGCTCGGGTGAGAATTGTGTCATGCGGCGCTGTCACTCTGCCTACGACGAGGGCTTACTTTGGACACCAGTTGACAATCACGATCGTGAAACACGGTTCCGGGGAATTTCTTTATGCCTATGTCTTGAGACAAGGCACCTTCGACGCGCCTGCCTCTTACTAACTTCCGGTGGCCTGCCTGCCTCTATAATGCGGCACGATTAATTTGATTATTTGATGCAGTCCCTTTCGCCCCACACACACATTATTATTTATTCCTTGTTGTCCTTGATGCCAAGGCAAGGCAGACTGGGCCCTATGAAAAACGTCTAGAGTGCCTCACTACTTTCTCATCTCTCCTTGAATTCGATTGATTCATGGATTTTCCATTTTATAGTCATCTCTAACAAATAAGCTTCCTTTGATGTTTAAAAATCCAGTGTTTTGTTCGGTGTTTTGGTGCTAGGTGGTAGTTTGACATCTGCACATGCATATCTTCTTCCCATTTTCTCGGCTGTGTTTTGACTATGTGAATGTTCCCTCCTCATCCTCATGATTCACGAGTGTGCACCTTGCGTTATTATCTGCTTGCAAACTCTCGCGAACCGACCAGTTGTACACTGTGACAGAAGACATTGGGGTGGAATCTGAGAATTGTACAGTCATCTAAGCGCAGAGACGAGAGGAGAGGAAATGATTGCGAGATCAGACTCTTGCATAGGAGGCTCGCACGCATCTAGAGACGAAGCGCACACTTCGACCTACGAGGAAGAGATACGTGTATAAGAAACACAAAACACACAAGCCTGTGGAATCAAAACCGGCATGGTTTGCGATTACGTAAGAGCAGACAATGTTGTGCGCGCAACACGGCAGTAAACGAACTGGACTCAGCACTAAAAGATGAGGTCCCGTCGTCAACTGATCACGAGGATTTCACGTGGGCCGGTCCACCCATGCTCAATTCCCCCACACTCTTCCATAGCCCACTTGTCATTTGTGACTTCCTTCAGTTCAGATTCCTATGCCTCCTCCACCTCTGCTGCTGCTTTCGGTACTGTACTATGTATTGTATTAAGACAGATGGGGCTCCAACTTTCATGCACTCCTTCATCATGTGGGATGAAATTAGCCTCGAACTCTTCGAGTTGTGGCCTTGAAGTCGTTGTTTTCCTTTTCTTAGAGTGCCATAATCAAGGTGAATTACATTATAATAACATGTGGCATTCGTATTCGAGGCCAAGTCACAGCATATTTTTTTAAAAGATGAGTTCAGCAATAACCGATGTTTATTGTGTTGATGAAATGCTTGGTGCACAATTTCTCCATAGATTCTCTACAAGTACTGATATCATTTTCTTAGATGATTTGCTCTCCTGCATATCTTAGAGAGAATAGAAGTCCAGTGAAGAAGTTCTCTTTGATTTGCTCGTCAGGTTTGACTGAACATCTAAAAGTAAAGAAGTGTTTGGAAATCTTAGATGACTCCGAATACGATGAATTTGCAGCTGGTCCAGCGGCTTTTACTCTAGTTCTGAACAGTGCACGTCATATGTCAACCACTCTCTTGGACTCGGTTAGTCTCGAGCTATTTTTTCTCCATCTGCTCAGCGAGTAACTCCCCTTATAAAGATTTCAAGCTTTCAGAGGATCGCATACATCAAATATTCGGGAGAAAATGGCAAAGAAAATACAATAAGTTGCCAGATATTACATAGTTCAGAGTAAAAGGTTCGTATTTTTCGTACTGAAAGCTTGAAAAATACGCCAAGAAAGTAGAAGATATCGACAAAATACTTGTAATGACTGTGTGTGTTTTGAGTGAGATTGAATTGGAACAGTTGAAGTTTGAAACTTGATCCCAAATATTTTTTTTATATCACACATCGCTAAGGCAACTTTCTGCTAATAAAAACCATATTGACATTCACTTTATTATCATAAAGTTCATTTCTCAGATGACCTGCTGACTGATGCACAAGTTTTACGTTCTTTCTTTTTTATGCACAACTTGCAAAACCTTGATGGAGTAAAGAGAGTGCTGACACTTTAAGAGTTAAGCGAATTCAAAGATGACGTGCTCAATAGAAATCTTAAATATATTCTTAGAATTCTATCAGCAAACAAATCGTAACAATATCGATTCAATTACAAAAGGAGTAATAAGATTTTTCCTCATTTTCTACATTTAATTTTAAATTTTTAAATTTTTTTGGTTTTTAGTTTGATGATATAAAGTCACTGTTGAGATTAGTTTGTATTATTAATTTGATGCGTGAAATAATAAATTTCTTAGAAAAAGTTCTAAATGAAATTAAATATTTAAAATATGTTCCCAAATAAGAGTTCTATTTTTTTTAAATGTTTTTTTATCGGTTAGATCTTTATGATACAACAAATTAAAAAAAAAACATTTCAAGAGGAAAAATATGTGGTTCGACTCGATGAGTCTACGGCTAGAAAAAACACAAATTCATTAGAAAGGATACCAAAGTTTTTGTCACATAGACCTAGTATTAGCTCTTATACATAATGAAGGACTAACCCTAGTCCTACTAACTAGAATAACACTTATCTTATTTAACAAAACTTGAATAATATTTATATTTTTTTAAATATTTGAAGAAATGTAAATTATATAGTGTTATGACAGATATATTATGTATATGATATCAACTGTGAGGTGTTAAATCTTATTTGGGTAGCTTAATCAAGGTTAGTTAGTCAAGTAAGTATATCGTTGTACAAGAGAGTTGATCAAAGCTCTATGTGACACAAATTGGGATATTTTTAGAAAAGAGTGCTGTGTTTAATATAAGAATAAATTAATTTTAATAAAGAAAAAATAAGAATACTCTGAATTTTAAATTATCATAATTTAAATACTCTTAATTTCAAGTCAACTGATAGTCAAGTAAGAACACTAAATATTAAAAAAATTTATTTCAAAAAACATAATTACTATATATACAAGTCTTAGTAAATCAAGCATGTGGTGCATTACTAACTTAAAATTTTAGTTAACGATTCAATTTTAATCTATGATTGACAAACCTTCATCTCGGCAAAAAAATATTTAAATGCAAATAGTTGAAAATGGTGTGTCATGGATTCATTGTTATGATATTTCAAATGTAAAAATATATTTTTAAATTCTTGAAATCAATAAATCTTGTGAGTGTATACTAAAATAATTTATGAAAAGGTTACTTTATCAGTTTAAAATAAACATTACTTTTTTAAACAACAATATGCTGTGATTTAATCATTATTTTGATTAACAATGAAATTATTGAAGTGTAAAAGTTTTTTAAAAGAATATGAGGATTTTTTATAATTTATATAATCACGGATTCATTAAAAAATTTTATTAAAATATGAATTGAATTAGATTCTACAATTTATTTTTATTGTAGAAAATAGAAAACTTTAACTTTTTTTCATATCATACAATAAAATATTATACAATTCATGTGCAACATACAAAATAATACTATAAAATGTAACTTATTGTGGAATTAAAAGTTGTTAATGTATCAAAATTTTCTAATTTATTGGAGAATTAGTATATAGAAATTTATTTTTGATTGAATTTTTTCAGACATTGAGTATTTTATCGTGATTCTTAAATGATCCACTCAAGTGATAATGAAACTAAAGCTTGACATATTGAGAATAAAAGCACATAAATGTCAATCGTGAATATTTTATGAGCTTATACATATATATTTATTTAATTAAGATCTTCATATTTTCAAATTTTTTTAATTCATTAAGTGTATAGAGAATTTTTTGGTCTTTAATTTTTTTTCACAAATTTTGTAAACAACAAAATTTATCAATAAATTTTTTGTTATTTTCGCATAATTTTTCGTTTCATGTGAATTAAATAACAATTTAATGCTTGATATTCATATAATATTTTTATCCTCTCTCGTAATTCAACTTAGAAGTTGTGATGTCTCTACTTATCTAATATTTGTGTACTTCAAGTTGCAAAATGTAAGAGCTTGTATATTATTTTTATATAGTGTTAGATTTTAAACAAATTAATATCCATATATCATGCCTAAATCTAGTAGATGTCGAATTATTTTTGAGTTTGAAATCTTTTTGACATATAGATTGAAAATTCTCACAGCAAATAAATTTAATAACTGAAAAAATTTAATACAAATCGGAAAATACTCATGATGTGCAT